CTTCTTCTTCTTTGCGTACACCAGCTGTATACTCTGGCGGAAAGTTCTGGTTTCTCGTTCATTACTGAACTGCAGTCCAGCTCCAGAACCTGAGTGTTGCGTGTGCATCAGTTTTACAGATCTCATTCTCTTGAATACAGACTGTTGGTTCCTTGCCTCTCCTGCAGATGCACTCCGACTTCAAAGGAAGCTCCCCAATTAGTCGACTCTTACGACATGCTTTTGGGGGGCAGTGGGTCTATTCTTGTTTTCCCCCACAATGGGGCCCCGGAACCCACACGGGGGCCACGTGTATTCACTTTTAGATTATTTACATTAAAGATTCTAAAAGATTCCGCGAAGTTCTGGCTTGTCAATCCGCGAAGTCACCAAGTGTAGTTCAAGTGATTGCCGGTCAGTTATTGGGGGGGGGGGGGGGGGAAGAGTTAGGGTGAGAAGGAACTAACACAAGAAATGTCACTGTAAATGATTACATTTATTAATGACGGTATTCACACACACATATCAACATATATTATTCGATAGTATATATATAATATAATTTATTAGTATATATAGTAGAATATATTATTCCATAGTTTATCATAACATGTCTGTGACTAAGGCGTTGCACGCACTTTGTAATGCCAGGGTACCGGGTTCGATCCCAGCTGCATGCCTTGCGCTGGTTTCGTCAGTGGTCTTGAGAAGCTGACCGTCCAGAAAGCAATGGCAAACTACTGGACGTAAATTTGCCTAGCAAAACCACAACAGCCAATGCTGGGTTCTGCAAAGGATACACAACTAACATTATCATAACATACATTATTAGCTAGTATGTTGTTAGAACACGCTCCCTTTTCACCGGAATTGAGGACTGCGAGGCATCAGGTGGTCCCTGTTTGCGTTTCCATACTAGTCACTATAAAACCAGACATGACCTGTCTACATATGTGCCCCCCAACATGACCTATCTAAATATGTTGTCGCCCCCCCCCCCAACAAGACCTGTCTACATATGTTGTGTCCCCCTCTCCCCCAACAAGACCTGTTTTCATATATTGTGTCCTGCAACATGACCTGTCTACATGTGTTGTGTCCTGCAACGTGACCTGTCTACATGTGTTGTGTCCAGCAACGTGACCTGTCTACATGTGTTGTGTCCAGCAACGTGACCTGTCTACATGTGTTGTGTCCAGCAACGTGACCTGTCTACATGTGTTGTGTCCAGCAACGTGACCTGTCTACATGTGTTGTGTCCAGCAACGTGACCTGTCTACATGTGTTGTGTCCAGCAACATGACCTGTCTACATATGTTGTGTCCAGCAACATAACCTGTCTACATATGTTGTGTCCAGCAACATGACCTGTCTACATATGTTGTGTCCAGCAACATAACCTGTCTACATATGTTGTGTCCAGCAACATGACCTGTCTACATATGTTGTGTCCAGCAACATAACCTGTCTACATATGTTGTGTCCAGCAACATAACCTGTCTACATATGTTGTGTCCAGCAACATAACCTGTCTACATATGTTGTGTCCAGCAACATAACCTGTCTATATATGTTGTGTCCAGCAACATAACCTGTCTACATATGTTGTGTCCAGCAACATAACCTGTCTACATATGTTGTGTCCAGCAACATACCTGTCTACATATGTTGTGTCCAGCAACATAACCTGTCTACATATGTTGTGTCCAGCAACATAACCTGTCTACATATGTTGTGTCCAGCAACATAACCTGTCTACATATGTTGTGTCCAGCAACATAACCTGTCTACATGTGTTGTGTCCAGCAACATGACCTGTCTACATATGTTGTGTCCAGCAACATAACCTGTCTACATATGTTGTGTCCAGCAACATGACCTGTCTACATATGTTGTGTCCAGCAACATGACCTGTCTACATATGTTGTGTCCAGCAACATAACCTGTCTACATATGTTGTGTCCAGCAACATGACCTGTCTACATATGTTGTGTCCAGCAACATAACCTGTCTACATATGTTGTGTCCAGCAACATAACCTGTCTACATATGTTGTGTCCAGCAACATAACCTGTCTACATATGTTGTGTCCAGCAACATAACCTGTCTATATATGTTGTGTCCAGCAACATAACCTGTCTACATATGTTGTGTCCAGCAACATAACCTGTCTACATATGTTGTGCCCAGCAACATACCTGTCTACATATGTTGTGTCCAGCAACATAACCTGTCTACATATGTTGTGTCCAGCAACATAACCTGTCTACATATGTTGTGTCCAGCAACATAACCTGTCTACATGTGTTGTGTCCAGCAACATGACCTGTCTACATATGTTGTGTCCAGCAACATAACCTGTCTACATATGTTGTGTCCAGCAACATGACCTGTCTATATGTGTTGTGTCCAGCAACATAACCTGTCTACATATGTTGTGTCCAGCAACATAACCTGTCTACATATGTTGTGTCCAGCAACATGACCTGTCTACATGTGTTGTGTCCAGCAACATAACCTGTCTACATGTGTTCACCACAACAGTTTGTGTATGTGGAGTGGTCATCTGGTCATTTATGTGGACAAGGTTCTAACACAGCATAGTTAGTTATTAGTAAAACAACTGTAAGGCATTAGTAAAACTTTCAGTGGTGTATTAGTAAAGTAATTGGAAGCAGGAAAACAGCTGTTCTAGTATTAAACAACTGCAAGACATTAGTCAAATATGAATTAATGTACAAATCCAACAGCAGTAAGGCAATAGTCAAACATGAACCACCATAAATGAGTATAGATGTGTTTCAGCATCAGTCAAGCAGTGACTGTACTCAGCATGTCAGCAGGACCAGTAAAACACTGACTGATTGTAGTCGGCACATCAGCAGAGTATACAACAACAGCCTCAGTCAAACAATGATTTTAGTCAGCACATCAGCACAACATACAACATTATCATTCAAGCAATGATTGTAGTCGGCACATCAGCAGAACATAAAACATCATCAGTCAAGCAATGATTGTAGTCAACACATCAGCACAACATACAACAACATCATCAGTCAAGCAATGATTGTAGTCGGCACATCAACACAACATACAACATCATCATGAGCCAAGCAATGATTGTAGTCAGCACATCAGCACAACATACAACATTATCATTCAAGCAATGATTGTAGTCGGCACATCAGCAGAACATATAACAACATCATCAGTCAAGCAATGATTGTAGTCGGCACATCAACACAACACACAACAACATCATCAGTCAAGCAATGATTGTAGTCAGCACATCAGCACAACATACAACATCATCATCAGTCAAGCAATGACTGTAGTCAGCATATCAGCAGAACATACAACAACATCATCAGTCAAGCAATGATTGTAGTCAGCACATCAACACAACATACAACAACATCATCAGTCAAGCAATGATTTTAGTCAGCATATCAGCACAACATACAACAACATCATCAGTCAAGCAATGACTATAGTCAGCACAACTTACATCATCATCAGTCAAGCAATGATTGTAGTCAGCATGTCAGCAGAACATACAACATCATCGTTCAAGCAATGATTGTAGTCAGCACATCAGCAGAAAATACAACATCATCATCAGTCAAGCAATGATTGTAGTCAGCACATCAGCAGAACATACAACATCATCATTCAATCAATGATCGTAGTCAGAACATCAGCACAAATAAACACAAAGGTCAAATAGTCTAAATTGTGCACTAACAGATACAACGAATATTACATCGTAATGACAGAATTTGTCTGATTATAAACTGATTTCATGTCATGATTATACAGCAAAACCTCATTAACGTAAACTTCCAAGGATTAATGATTAAAAAACGGTGCTCACCAGAACCAACATTCTGGTCATGTTAACTCAGTCTTTTTCTTAAGTGAGTTAGTGTTAACAATATTTTAGTGTAGAATTCATGTTGTGATTATAGAATTCAGGTTATGATTATAGAATTCACATTGTGATTATAGAATTCAAGTTTTGATTACATAATTCATGTTATGATTGAAGATTTGAAATAAAGGAAATTAAACAAAAAATCCAGCTACCATTTGATCACATCAACCACGGGTACACAGAATATGTGATGGAGGCTGTCACAACAAGATGATTGTGATGGAGGCTGTCACAACAAGATGATTGTGATGGAGGCTGTCACTACAAGATTATTGTGATGGAAGCTGTCACAACAAGATGATTGTGATGTAAGCTGTCACAACAAGATGATTGTGATGTAAGCTGTCACTACAAGATTATTGTGATGTAAGCTGTCACTACAAGATGATTGTGATGTAAGCTGTCACTACAAGATTATTGTGATGTAAGCTGTCATTACAAGATGATTGTGATGTAAGCTGTCACTACAAGATTATTGTGATGGAAGCTGTCACTACAAGATGATTGTGATGGAAGCTGTCATTACAAGATGATTGTGATGGAGGCTGTCATTACAAGATGATTGTGATGGAAGCTGTCACTACAAGATTATTGTGATGGAGGCTGTCATTACAAGATTATTGTGATGGAGGTTGTCACTAAAAAGATTATTGTGATGGAGGCTGTCACTACAAGATTAATGTGATGGAAGCTGTCACTACAAGATGATTGTGATGGAGGCTGTCACTACAAGATGATTGTGATGGAGGCTGTCACTACAAGATTATTGTGATGGAGGCTGTCACTACAAGATTATTGTGATGGAGGCTGTCACTACAAGATGATTGTGATGGAGGCTGTCACTACAAGATGATTGTGATGGAGGCTGTCACTACAAGATTATTGTGATGGAGGCTGTCACTACAAGATGATTGTGATGGAGGCTGTCACTACAAGATTAATGAGTCTGCAACTGTCGCTTTAAGTTACTGAAAATGAGGTTGTAATTAGACAGTTCATGCTGAGGGTATGTGCTGCACTTACAGCTGAAGTTATCAGTATCAAATTAGTATCTGAAAAATCAACAGAAACAGGTAAACTAATTTTAAGAATGACAGCAGGAGTTATCTCTCTTGCTTTCAGTGACACCATCAAAATAGGACTCCTCCAGTTCTGACATCACCGAGCTTGACAGTGATGTATGATCACTTGCCTGTTTGGCTCCATTTGGTAATGACAAAATATGCTTGATTAGAAAATTCATGGCTTCATCTGAAACAAAACATGAAATGTGGACATTGCTGTATTTGTTAGAGACGCGTGAATACACAATGATACACAGGACCACAGCCATTATAATCTCAGAGACAAGAAAAAAATTGATGTTAAGATAATTTCAGAGATAAGACAGAAGTTAAGATAATCTCAGAAATAAGACAGAAGTTAAGATAATCTCAGAGATAAGGCAGAAGTTAAGATAAGTTTAGAGAAAAGACAGAAATTAAGATAATTTCAGAAATAAGACAGAAGTTAAGATAATCACAGAGATAAGACAGAAGTTAAGATAATTTCGGAGATAAGACCAAAGTTAAGATAATCACAGAGATAAGACAGAAGCTAAGATATTCACAGAAATAAGACATAAGTTAAGATAATCTCAGAGATAAGACAGTAGTTAAGATATTCACAGAGATAAGACAGAAGCTAAGATATTCACAGAGATAAGACAGAAGCTAAGATATTCACAGAGAGAAGACAGAAGCTAAGATAATATCAGAGATAAGACATAAGTTAAGATAATCACAGAGATAAGACATAGGTTAAGATAATCACAGAGATAAGACATAAATTAAGATAATCTCAGAGGTAAGAGAAGTTAAGATAATCACAGAGGTAAGAGAAGTTAAGATAATCTCAAAGATAAGACAGAAGTTAAGATAATCTCAGAGAAAAGACACAAGTTAAGATAATCTCAGAGATAAGACAGAAGTTAAGATAATCTCAGAGATAAGACAGAAGTTAAGATAAGCTCAGAGATAAGACAGAAGTTAAGATAATCTCAGACATAAGACAGAAGTTAAGATAATCACAGAGATAAGACATAAGTTAGGATAATCACAGAGATAAGACAGAAGTTAAGATAATCTCAGACATAAGACAGAAGTTAAGATAATCTTAAAGATGAGACATAAGTTAAGATAATCTCAGACATAAGACAGAAGTTAGGATAATCACAGAGATAAGACATAAGTTAGGATAATCACAGAGATAAGACAGAAGTTAAGATAATCTCAGAGGTAAGAAAAGTTAGGATAATCACAGAGATAAGACAGAAATTAAGATAATCTCAGAGGTAAGAGGAGTTAAGATAATCACAGAGGTAAGAGAAGTTAAGATAATCTCAGAGATAAGACAGAAGTTAAGATAATCTCAGAGATAAAACATAAGTTAAGATAATCTTAGAGATAAGACAGAAGTTAAGATAAGCTCAGAGATAAGACAGAAGTTAAGATAATCTCAGACATAAGACAGAAGTTAAGATAATCACAGAGATAAGACATAAGTTAGGATAATCACAGAGATAAGACAGAAGTTAGGATAATCACAGAGATAAGACAGAAGTTAAGATAATCTCAGACATAAGACAGAAGTTAAGATAATCTCAGACATAAGACAGAAGTTAAGATAATCTCAGACATAAGACAGAAGTTAAGATAATCACAGAGATAAGACATAAGTTAGGATAATCACAGAGATAAGACAGAAGTTAAGATAATCTCAGAGGTAAGAGAAGTTAGGATAATCACAGAGGTAATACAGAAGGCATAAACATTAATAGGAATATGTGAACAAGTGGAGAATGTGATCAAATAAAGTGTGTGACCAAGTCGACAGCGTGTGAACAAGTGAACAGTGTGTGAACAAGTGAACAGTGGGTTAACAAATGGACAGTGTGTGAACAAGTGGACAGTGTGTGAACAAGTGGATAGTGTGTGAACAAGTGGACAGTGTGTGAACAAGTGGACAGTGTATGAACAAGTGGACAGTGTGTGAACAAGTGGACAGTGTGTGACTGAGTGTAGTGTGTGACAGTAACCAAGTAGACGCTGTGTGAACAAGTGGACAGTGTGTGAACAAGTAGACAGTGTGTGAACAAGTAGACAGTGTGTGAACAAGTGAACAGTGTGTGAACAAGTGAACAGTGTGTGAACAAGTGGACAGTGTGTGAACAAGTGGACAGTGTGTGAACAAGTGGACAGTGTGTGAACAAGTGAAGTGTGTGGACAGTGTGTGAACAAGTGGACAGTGTGTGACAGTAACCAAGTGGACAGTGTGTGAACAAGTGGACAGTGTGTGAACAAGTGGACAGTGTGTGAACAAGTGGACAGTGTGTGAACAAGTGGAGGGTGTGAACAGTGTGTGAACAAGTGGAGTGTGTGGACAAGTGGACAGTGTGTGAACAAGTGGACAGTGTGAACAAGTGGACAGTGTGTGAACAAGTGGACAGTGTGTGAACAAGTGGACAGTGTGTGAACAAGTGAACAGTGTGTGAACAAGTGGACAGTGTGTGAACAAGTGGACAGTCTGTGAACAAGCGGACAGTGTGTGAACAAGTGGAGTGTGTGAACAAGTGGAGTGTGTAAACAAGTGGAGTTTGTGAACAAGTGGACAGTGTGTGAACAAGTGGACAGTGTGTGAACAAGTGGACAGTGTGTGAACAAGTGGACAGTGTGTGAACAAGTGGACAGTGTGTGAACAAGTGGACAGTGTGAACAAGTGGACAGTGTGTGAACAAGTGGACAGTGTGTGAACAAGTAGACAGTGTGTGAACAAGTAGACAGTGTGTGAACAAGTGGACAGTGTGTGAACAAATGAACAGTGTGTGAACAAGTGGACAGTGTGTGAACAAGTGGACAGTCTGTGAACAAGCGGACAGTGTGTGAACAAGTGGAGTGTGTGAACAAGTGGAGTGTGTAAACAAGTGGAGTTTGTGAACAAGTGGACAGTGTGTGAACAAGTGGACAGTGTGTGAACAAGTGGACAGTGTGTGAACAAGTGGACAGTGTGTGAACAAGTGGACAGTGTGTGAACAAGTGGACAGTGTATGAACAAGTGGACAGTGTGTGAACAAGTGGACAGTGTGTGACTGAGTGTAGTGTGTGACAGTAACCAAGTAGACACTGTGTGAACAAGTGGACAGTGTGTGAACAAGTGGAGGGTGTGAACAGTGTGTGAACAAGTGGAGTGTGTGGACAAGTGGACAGTGTGTGAACAAGTGGACAGTGTGTGAACAAGTGGACAGTGTGAACAAGTGGACAGTGTGTGAACAAGTGGAGTGTGTGAACAAGTGAACAGTGTGTGAACAAGTGGAGTGTGTGAACAAGTGGAGTGTGTGAACAAGTGGAGTGTGTGAACAAGTGGAGTGTGTGAGCAAGTGGACAGTGTGTGAGCAAGTGGACAGTGTGTGAACAAGTGAACAGTGTGTGAACAGGTGGACAGTGTGTGAACAAGTGGACAGTGTGTGAACAAGTGGACAGTGTGTGAACAAGTGGACAGTGTGTGAACAAGTGAACAGTGTGTGAACAAGTGGAGTGTGTGAACAAGTGGACTGTGTGAACAAGTGGAGTGTTTGACCAAGTGGACTGTGTGACTAAGTGGAGTGAATGACCAAGTGGACTGTGTGACTAAGTTGAGTGTGTGACCAAGTGGACTGTGTGACTAAGTTGAGTGTGTGACCAAGTGGACTGTGTGACTAAGTTGAGTGTGTGACCAAGTGGACTGTGTGACTAAGTTGAGTGAGTGACCAAGTGGACTGTGTGACTAAGTTGAGTGTGTGACCAAGTGGACTGTGTGACTAAGTTGAGTGAGTGACCAAGTGGACTGTGTGACTAAGTTGAGTGAGTGACCAAGTGGACTGTGTGACTAAGTTGAGTGAGTGACCAAGTGGACTGTGTGACTAAGTTGAGTGAGTGACCAAGTGGACTGTGTGACTAAGTTGAGTGAGTGACCAAGTGGACTGTGTGACTAAGTTGAGTGTGTGACCAAGTGGACTGTGTGACTAAGTTGAGTGAGTGACCAAGTGGACTGTGTGACTAAGTTGAGTGAGTGACCAAGTGGACTGTGTGACTAAGTTGAGTGTGTGACCAAGAGTAGTGTGTGAACAAGTTGACAGCATGTGACCAAGTGGAGTGTGTGACTATCTGGAGTCCAGGTGAGAAAGCACTACTCACCAACATTATGGTTTGTTTTTGCCGATGTTTTGAACCATCCGATAAAATTATGTTCTTTACAGAAAGTATTCAGCTTCTCATCTTCATAGGATCCATCTTCAAGGTCACACTTAAACAACATTAGCAAAATCACATGAAAACAAGACATATTTAAACTCATGAAATCTTTGAACACAGGACATTTACAAACGCATGAAATCTTTGAACACAAGACACATACAAATGCATGAAATCTTTGAACACAGGACACATACAAATGCATGAAATCTTTGAACACAGGATACATACAAACACATGAAATATACGGACACAGGACACATTCAAACACATGAAATCTTTGAACACAGGACACATACAAGGTCCGACATTAAAGTTATGAGATTAATTCCATAAAAATTAAAATAATCAACAGTTGAAAATAAAACCCTTTATTTGATTCAAAGCCCCTTGTGCATTGATACAGTAAGTAGCATAATCTAACAAACACTGGACCTCTGTAGTTCTTCTGTGAAAGCCCTTAAGTTGATGTTATGACCCTTTGGATGCCATCAATTTGTCATAGAAGCGTCCTTTCAATGGTAACTTTAATTTTAGGAATAGAAAATAATCACAGGGAGACAAATCTGGGGAGTATCATCATCCTCACAGTAAAACAATGATCTTCTTGTATCCGTTCTCTGACTTTTGCAGTGAGTCCATCATTACGTGAATCGTGAATACCACCTGAAAATTTGTGCACGAGAAAAACAATTATCCCCATAAACATGTTGTATCAATTCAACTGTTTCAATGGCGCTTTTTCTGAGTTTTAAAAAGAATTTAATGTTAGCTTTTTGCTCTGTGCTGATTATGTAACAGCGCACCTCTGACTAGATCAACAAAATGGCGGCTTGTTGGTTGTCTGCTTATCAAGTGGCGATGAAAAGTTGCTAGATCATAGAAGAATGTTGCCTTTTTAGATTCTATGCTTTTGCTTCATAGATGGCATTTTCGTCTTGACCATAATCACATCAGTCTCATGACTTAATTGTCGTACCTTGTATAAACATATGAAATATATGGATTCAGGACCTTGTTTAAACATATGAAATATATGGATTCAGGACCTTGTATAAACATATGAAATATATGGATTCAGGACCTTGTATAAACATATGAAATATATGGATTCAGGACCTTGTATAAACATATGAAATATATGGACACAATATATAAACACAAAATATATGATCACACAGCATATATGAACACAGGACATATATAAAGACATGAAATATATGAAAACACAACATATATAAACACAAGACATATATGAACACATGACACATAAAACATGAAATACAGCACATATTTAAACACATAAAATATATGAACCCAGGACATATATAAACACAGGAACTATATGAACACATGATTTACATAAACACATGAAATATATGAACACAGTACACATATAAATGCATGAAATATTTGAATACAGGACATTTATAAACTTATGAAATATATGGATACAGGACATTTATAAACATATGAAATATATGAATACAGGACATTAAAAACATATGAAATATATGAACCCAGGACATATATAAAGACACTGTAAAATACAGAGCTTTCACTAGACTCGAACCCATCTGTAATGTGTGATAAGTTTATAAGTATGACTACTTATGGTCAGATAAGCACATGGGGCTGGACAGCTGGCTAGAGAAAGGGATACTTTCAGGCGTGCCATAAAGAGAGAGAGACGTTCTGTAAAGGACTTGCTGATTGATGTTGATAGTCAGATAGTTGAAGCCGCCTTCTCCCCCACTACAGGCAAAACCCTCTACAGGGCACAACTGGACTAAACCATCAACATGCCAGCTTGTAGGATCTAGAGAAATCTTCAGCTGAGGGGTCCAGTTTTCTTTCGATGAACTCGCCTCTTACCCCAAGATATGAGTTTAAACTACAAACTAGGTACACAACTGACTAACTATTGCAAACATCATCTTATTATGAGCTGTAAGGTCCCAAAAAAATGGCTGGTGACGGCCATATCCAGTTGTATATATTCCATAACTGACACAATCACCTACAAACAGATAAAATAAACTACAAACTGATACAACAGACTACAAACTGATACAACAGACTATAAACTGATACAACAGACTATAAACTGATACAACAGACTACAAACTGATACAACAGACTATAAACTGATACAACAGACTATAAACTGATACAACAGACTATAAACTGATACTACTAAACTGATACAACAGACTATAAACTGATACAACAGACTATAAACTGATACAACAGACTATAAACTGATACAACAGACTATAAACTGATACAACAGACTATAAACTGATACAACAGACTATAAACTGATACAACAGACTATAAACTGATACAACAGACTATAAACTGATACAACAGACTATAAACTGGTACAACAGACTATAAACTGATACTATAAACTGATACAACAGACTATAAACTGGTACAACAGACTATAAACTGATACAACAGACTATAAACTGATACAACAGACTATAAACTGATACAACAGACTACAAACTGATACAACAGACTATAAACTGATACAACAGACTATAAACTGATACAACAGACTATAAACTGATACAACAGACTATAAACTGATACAACAGACTATAAACTGATACAACAGACTATAAACTGATACAACAGACTACAAACTGATACAACAGACTATAAACTGATACAACAGACTACAAACTGATACAACAGACTATAAACTGATACAACAGACTATAAACTGATACAATAGACTATAAACTGATACAACAGACTATAAACTGATACAACAGACTATAAACTGATACAACAGACTATAAACTGATACAACAGACTATAAACTGATACAACAGACTATAAACTGATACAACAGACTATAAACTGATACAACAGACTACAAACTGATACAACAGACTACAAACTGATACAACAGACTATAAAACTACACAACAGACTATAAACTGATACAACAGACTACAAACTGATACAGAGACTATAAACTGATACAACAGACTATAAACTGATACAACAGACTATAAACTGATACAACAGACTATAAACTGATACAACAGACTATAAACTGATACAACAGACTATAAACTGATACAACAGACTATAAACTGATACAATAGACTATAAACTGATACAACAGACTATAAACTGATACAACAGACTACAAACTGATACAACAGACTACAAACTGATACAACAGACTATAAACTGATACAACAGACTACAAAATGTCCACCTTGTTTGCTAACAGCATGACAGGCACTGGCTGGTCATTGGATAAAACCACCTTGGAATTAACATCCTCCAGCCACTGGGGGGGAGAGAACATAAAACACTGTTTACAATGTCAGCCACTGGGGGGAGAGAACATAAAACACATGTTTACAATGTCAGCCACTGGGGGGAGAGAACATAAAACACATGTTTACAATGTCAGCCACTGGGGGGAGAGAACATAAAACACATGTTTACAATGTCAGCCACTGGGGGAGAGAACATAAACACATATTTACAATGTCAGCCACTGGGGGAGAGAACATAAACATATATTTACAATGTCAGCCACTGGGGGAGAGAACATAAACATATGTTTACAATGTCAGCCACTGGGGGAGAGAACATAAACACATATTTACAATGTCAGCCACTGGGGGAGAGAACATAAACATATATTTACAAAGTCAGCCACAAGGGGAAGAGCTCAAAGTTCTGCAAGCGAAATCATATCTCAGAGTGTATGCAGACAAGAAGCACCTCCTGCATGAAGTCCTGGGTAGAGCTAAGGGTCACAGACTGAACAGAAGAAAGTCTTGGATGGCTTAAGACATGATTGGACATGCATGCAGGCTCAATAAATGGAAGTGAGAGAGGAGTGGGTCAAAGTGTCCGAGCTAGTTTCAGACTTGTGTAAGGTTTTTATCATTCTGAGTCATGAGTGCAGGTACTGGCCAGCTGGTGCTGCAGAATTAGTTCAACACATGATTCATGACAATTCCCACCCAGGTAATGTGAATATCTATACAGATGGTTCTGTAACGAGGGGAGGATGGGGTGTTGGGGGGGGTATGTTTATAGCAAAAGCAAATGGACGTTGCTTGGGGCCTCAAAGCCTGGCATATGATATCACAACGTCTAGTTTGAGAATGGAGGTGCAGGCAGTCACTGCTGCCTTCCGCTGGCTTGAGAATCAGCTTACACACATGCCGTAATTGTAACTGACACACAGCAGAACATGTTGAGAAAGCTGGAGACAGGCATACTCCATGCAGAGTGGCAAGCATCCCTTCAGAGGTCCTGGGTAGTTAGCATCCTTTGGATTTTTCCTCCAGGTATGTTGGTGTTGGACAATGAGCAGGCAGATAAACTGGGCGGTTCTGCACCGCTTTGGTGGTGAACTGATGTATGACAAGCCGGATGTTGTGAAGGCAACAAGTGAACAGTGTGGAGGTTCAGATAGATCATTAAAGCCTGGGAATAACGACACAGCAAGGATTTGCAAGGAGATCTGGCTGGCGCTCAACACTCAGCAGAAAGGAGAGACAGATATACAATCAGACAGTTACTGGTGACATCGGAACTGAAACGCTTCACTTGCTGCTGAAAATTGGAAGAGAGCACTTATGGGGGTGTCCTGAGTGCTGTAATGTCAATTCTTAATTAAACATTTAGCCACGTAAAAATTTTTATAAAATCAGTGAGTCACACACAGACACAAGCAAGACACAAACCACACACAGATACAATCAAGACACAAAAAACACACACAATCAAGGCCCAAACTACACATAGGTACCATCAAGGCACAATCAAGACACAAGCCACTCACAGTCACAATCAAGGCACACAAGCCACTCACAGACACACAAGTAGGAAATACACCACACACAGACACAATCACAACATGTTAGATTATATCCTGCAGTTGAAACTTACTTTCAAAACTGAATCAAAAGTTGCCGGCCTGAAAATGAATGAAGTCAACTGTTATTACAAACTGACAGCTGTTTATATGTCAGACAGTACAGTGATAGAAAATATCATATGTTTAACATGCCAGACAGTACAGTAATACAAAATATCATATATTTAACATGCCAGACAGTACAGTGATACAAAATATTATATATTTAACATGCCAGACAGTACAGTAATAGAAAACATATATTTAACATGCCAGACAGTACAGTAATAGAAAACATATATTTAACATGACAGACAGTACAGTAATAGAAAATATCATTTATTTAACATGCCAGACAGTACAGTAATAGAAAATATCATTTATTTAACATGCCAGACAGCACAGTAATAGAAAATATCATTTTTTTAACATGCCAGACAGCACAGAGATTTACAATATGATGTGTTTCACATGAAAAACAATAGAGAGATATGCAATGCCATGTGTTTAACATGAAAGACAGTACATAGATTTACAATGTCATTTGTTGAGTTGTGTTGAGCTGAGTCAAGAACTGACATTACAGCACTCAGGGCATTCCCATGCATGCTCCGTCCTCATCTTCAGCAGCCAGCGCAGAGTTCCAATACTGATCGTACCGGTCACAATCTGGTTAAATGTCCATCTTGCCTTTCCTCTGAGTGTAGTGTGCCGGCCAGACCCTCTGGTTACACCCAGGTGCTTCATTCTCTCCAGGCCATAATAATCTTGTTTCTCTACTAATTCCGTTGCTTGTTCCCAAAGAGCCTTGACCACACCTGCCTTGTCATGTATCAATTCACCACCCAGTGGTGCAGATCCAGCCGATCTGTCTGCCTGTTTATTACCAACCATGCAGGCATCGCCTGGAGAAAGATCCAAAGTATGCTCACTACCCGTGACCTTTCCAATGAAGCTTGCCACTCTGCTCGAAGCATCCCTGTCTTCACCTTTTGTTTAACATGTTAAAGAGTATAAGAATATATAATATCATTGTTTAACATGTTAGAGTATATAGAAATATACAATGTCATGTGTTTAAACATGAAACACAGTAGAGATTACCAGAGATAGCTGACGTAATGCTGACCACATTACCGATTGGTCTGTAAAAATATGGGACGCTCTTCCCATATGCCTCGATGCCCCTAAGGCATGAAAAAGGGATCTTTTCTTTACTGACAGTAGAGAGAAATAGGTTGTCACATGATTAACATGTTAGAGAGTACAAAGATCTACAACATATCCAGTGTCCTATATTAGTATAAAGGTAAACATGCCAGGAAAGACATACATACGGCCATATTTTTTACATGTAAGACTGTACACACGGCAATTACGTTTAACATATCAGAACAGTAGGCACAAACATCAGATTCCCACTAGGTAGACATATCACTAGGTAGAAAATATAGGTAGATACTACTAGGTAGACACCACTAGGTAGACACCACTAGGTAGACACCACTAGGTAGATAATACTAGGTAGACACCACTAGGTAGACACACTAGGTAGACAACACTAGGTAGACACCACTAGGTAGACAATACTAGGTAGACACCACTAGGTAGACAACACTAGGTAGACACCACTAGGTAGACACCACTAGGTAGACACCACTAGGTAGACACCACTAGGTAGACAGCACTAGGTAGACACCACTAGGTAGACACCACTAGGTAGACAATACTAGGTAGTCAATACTAGGTAGACAACACTAGGTAGACACCACTAGGTAAACACCACTAGGTAGACACCACTAGGTAGACAATACTAGGTAGACACCACTAGGTAGACAACACTAGGTAGACACCACTAGGTAGACAACACTAGGTAGACACCACTAGGCAGACACCACTAGGCAGACACCACTAGGTAGACACCACTAGGTAGACACCACTAGGTAGGCACCACTAGGTAGACAATACTAGGTAGACAACACTAGGTAGACACCACTAGGTAGACACCACTAGGTAGACACCACTAGGTAGACACCACTAGGTAGACAACACTAGGTAGACAACACTAGGTAGACAGTGAATCAAGATACATGTTTATTCAGGCAACCATTAGAGAAATCATTCTGACACTGAGGAAAAATAGCATTAGGAGATGTCAGATACAGGTGTGGGTGTACAGACATCACTGATCATACATACATGTGTGGGTGTACAGACATCACTGATCATACATACAGGTGTGGGTGTACAGGCATCACTGATCATATGTACAGATGTGGGTGTACAGACATCACTGATCATACATTCAGGTGTGAGTGTAAAGACATCACTAATCATATACAGATATGTGCATACTTTCATCCTGTAAATATACAGGTGTGAGTGTACAGACATCACTGATCACAGGTGTGGGTGTACAGACATCACTGATCACAGGTGTGGGTGTGCAGACATCACTGATCACAGGTGTGGGTGTACAAACATCACTGATCACAGGTGTGGGTGTAAAGACATCACAGATCACAGGTGTGGGTGTACAAACATCACTGATCACAGGTGTGGGTGTAAAGACATCACTGATCACAGGTGTGGGTGTACAAACATCACTGATGTGTGGGTGTCACTGATCACAGGTGTGGGTGTACAGACATCACTGATCACAGGTGTGGGTATACAGACATCACTGATCATAGGTGTGGGTATACAGACATCACTGATCACAGGTGTGAGTGTACAGACATCACTGATCGTACATTCAGGTGTAAGTGTACAGACATCACTGATCAAATACAGATATGTGCATACTTTCATCTTGTAAATATACAGGTGTGAGTGTACAGACATCACTGATTGCAGGTGTGGGTGTACAGACATCACTGATCATGGGTGTGGGTGTACAGACATCATTGATCATACATACAGGTGTGGGTGTACAGACATCACTGATCATAGGTGTGGGTGTACAGACATCACTGATCACAGGTGTGGGTGTACATACATCACTGATCATACATTCAGGTGTGGGTTTACAGACATCACTGATCATATACAGATATGTGCATACTTTCATCCTGTAAATATACAGGTGTGAGTGTACAGACATCACTGATCACAGGTGTGGGTGTACAGACATCATTGATCACATGTAAGTGTCAGCATACAGACAACACTGACTACACACAGGTGCGACTGTACAGACAACAATGACCACAGACAGAAACAACTGAGTGAAGATAATACCTGGACAAATCGTAGACAATGATGGCAGCAATTCTGTTGAGGAAGAGGAGAAGCAAATATTCAGCCAGAAATTTAAGAAAAATCATCAATCAAATCAAGAAATTTAAGAAAAATCATCAAGAAATTAAAGAAAAATCATCAATCAAATCAAGAAATTTAAGAAAAATCATCAAGAAATTAAAGAAAAATCATCAATCAAATCAAGAAATTTAAGAAAAATCATCAATCAAATCAAGAAATTAAAGAAAAATCATCAATCAAATCAAGAAATTTAAGAAAAATCATCAATCAAATCAAGAAATTTAAGAAAAATTATAAATCGAAACAATAAATAAAAAAAAATATCAATCAAAGCCAGAAATTTAAGAAAAATCATAAAGAAAAATCATCAATCAAATCAAGAAATTTAAGAAAAATCATCAATCAAAGAAAAATCATTAATCAAAGCCAGAAAATGAATAAAAATCATTAATCAATGCCAGAAAGAAAAAAGTTTGAAATGGAAGAAAGCCGGAAATGGAACTGCTGATAGAAGTCTGGTGATCTCTCTGGCAAACCTCTATACCCTAAGGTAGAAGTCTGGTGATCTCTCTGGCAAACCTCTATACCCTAAGGTAGAAGTCTGGTGATCTCTCTAGCAAACCTCTACACCCTAAGGTAGAAGTCTAGCGATCTCTCTGGCAAACCTTTACACCCTAAGGTAGAAGTCTGGTGATCTCTCTGGCAAACCTCTACACCCTAAGGTAGAAGTCTGGTGATCTCTCTGGCAAACCTCTACACCCTAAGGTAGAAGTCTGGTGATCTCTCTGGCAAACCTCTACACCCTAAGGTAGAAGTGTGGTGATCTCTCTGGCAAACCTTTACACCCTAAGGTAGAAGTCTGGTGATCTCTCTGGCAAACCTCTACACCCTAAGGTAGAAGTCTGGTGATCTCTCTGGCAAACCTCTACACCCTAAGGTAGAAGTCTGGTGATCTCTCTGGCAAACCTCTACACTCTAAGGTAGAAGTGTGGTGATCTCTCTGGCAAACCTTTACACCCTAAGGTAGAAGTCTGGTGATCTCTCTGGCAAACCTTTACACCCTAAGGTAGAAGTCTGGTGATCTCTCTGGCAAACCTTTACACCCTAAGGTAGAAGTCTGGTGATCTCTCTGGCAAACCTCTACACCCTAAGGTAGAAGTGTGGTGATCTCTCTGGCAAACCTTTACACCCTAAGGTAGAAGTCTGGCAATTTCTCTGGCAAACCTCTACACCCTCAGGTAGAAAACTGGTGATCTCTCTGGCAAACCTCTACACCCTAAGGTAGAAGTCTGGAGATCTCTCTGGCAAACCTCTACACCCTAAGGTAGAAGTCTGGTGATCTCTCTTGCAAACCTCTACACCCTAAGGTAGAAGTCTGGTGATCTCTCTGGCAAACCTCTACACCCTGAGGTAGAAGTCTGGTGATCTCTCTGGCAAACCTCTACCCCCTAAGGTAGAAGTCTGGCGATCTCTCTGGCAAACCTCTACACCCTGAGGTAGAAGTCTGGTGATTTCTCTGGCAAACCTCTACACCCTAAGGTAGAAGTCTGGAGATCTCTCTGGCAAACCTCTACACCCTAAGGTAGAAGTCTGGTGATCTCTCTGGCAAATCTCTACACCCTAAGGTAGAAGTCTGGTGATCTCTCTGGCAAACCTCTACACCCTAAGGTAGAAGTCTGGTGATCTCTCTGGCAAACCTCTATACCCTAAGGTAGAAGTCTGGTGATCTCTCTGGCAAACCTCTACACCCTAAGGTAGAAAAAGAGAAAGTTGCTTCAGAGGTTACGAGTGAGGAGCATTGTCTGGATCATTTCTCTGGTGTATGCTGGTAAGTTGAGAAATGAACAGGCGGACAGACTGGCTGGCTCTGCACAACTTGGTGGAATTTTGATGTAGGATAATGCAGACCTGGTTAGTGTCTTGTAGGAGAACGTGTACAATTTTGAGGAGCAAATGGATCACCACAGCCTGGTAGAGCAATGTTTTGGGGAACGATGAGGGGATCTGGTTAAAAAAAAAGGCAAGACGGACTAATAATTAGAATGCTACTGGCAACATCAGTATTGGAACTCCACACTTGCTGCCAAAGATGGGGTCAGAGCGCTTATGAGAAATCCCCGAGTGCTGTGATGTTGACTCTTGAATCAACTGAGCTCATGCAGGTAAGGGGCAGAATTCTTTCTTTCAATAAAATGGAAGACCAGAAATGTTTAAATGTTCAGAAAAGAAAGGTTTAAATGTTTCAGAAAAGAAATGTTTAAATGTTCAGAAAAGAAATGTTTAAATTTTCAGAAAAGAAATGTTTAAATTTTCAGAAAAGAAATGTTTAAATTTTCAGAAAAGAAATGTTTAAATTTTCAGAAAAGAAATGTTTAAATTTTCAGAAAAGAAATGTTTAAATTTTCAGAAAAGAAATGTTTAAATTTTCAGAAAAGAAATGTTTAAATTTTCAGAAAAGAAATGTTTAAATGTTCAAAGGTTCAGAAAAAAAAATTATTCAATGTGTCAAACATACGCATATTTGTAGTAGACTCTTGTCATGTGACCAAATCGTTCGTGTCCTGCGATGTCCCTGAGGAAAGATAAAATACATAAGTTTCTCCGTTTCATTTTCCTAATAACATTTTTTTTTTCAAGAATAGAGGTGCTGGCACTCAAAATGTCTAAAAACAAACCCGGTATTCACCATCATTTCCTACAGCCAGGGAAAAAAAACCTATCCTGATCGTGTCTCAATTCATAACCTTTTAGTGCATCTACACCACTGGAATACATGTAAACACAATGGGTGTTATATCTATATCACTGGAACACATATGAAAAACTATGGGTGTTATATCTATATCACTGGAACACATATGAAAAACTATGGGTGTTGTATTTACACCAGAGGAATACATATATGGGTGCTGTATCTTTGTACACTGTAACAGGTAGCAACCCCCATGAAACACACAAGCAGATCAAACAAATTGGTGGTACAAACACAACAGGCAAGTGTGACATCCAAATAGAACAGCCAAGTATGACATTCAAACAGAACAGCCAAATATGTGACAAAATTAGAACAGCCAAGTGTGTGACACAAGCAGAACAGCCAAGTGTGAGATATAAACAGAACAGCCAAGTGTGTGACACACACAGAACAGCCAAGTGTGTGACACAAACAGGACAGCCAAGTGTGTGACACAAACAGAACAGCCAAGTATGTGACAAAATCAGAACAGCCAAGTATGTGACAATAACAGAACAGCCAAGTGTAAGATATAAACAGAACAGTGAAGTATGTGACAAAATCAGAACAGCTAAGTATGTGACACAAACAGAACAGCCAAGTGTGAGATATAAACAGAACAGCCAAGTATGTGAGAAAATCAGAACAGCCAAGTATGTGACACAAACAGAACAGCCAAGTGTGAGATATAAACAGAACAGCCAAGTGTGCGACACAAACAGAACAGCCAAGTGTGTGACACACACAGAACAGCCAAGTGTGTGACACAAACAGAACAGCCAAGTATGTGACACATGCAGAACAGCAAAGTGTGTGACACAAACAGAACAGCCAAGTGTGTGACACAAACAGAACAGCCAAGTGTGAGATATAAACAGAACAGCCAAGTGTGTGACACAAACAGAACAGCCAAGTGTGCGACACAAACAACAGCCAAGTGTGTGACACAAACAGAACAGCCAAGTGTGAGATATAAACAGAACAGCCAAGTGTGTGACACAAACAGAACAGCCAAGTGTGTGACACAAACAGAACAGCCAAGTGTGTGATATAAACAGAACAGTCAAGTGTGTGACACAAACAGAACAGCCAAGTGTGTAACACAAACAGAACAGCCAAGTGTGTGACACAAATAGAACAGCCAAGTGTGAGATATAAACAGAACAACCAAGTATGTGACACTCACAGAACAGCCAAGTGTGAGATATAAACAACAGCCAAGTGTGTGACACAAACAGAACAACCAAGTGTGTGACACAAACAGAACAGCCAAGTGTGAGATACAAACAGAACAGCCAAGTGTGTGATACAAACAGAACAGCCAAGTGTGAGACACAAACAGAACAGTCAAGTGTGAGATACAAACAGAACAGCCAAGTGTGTGACACAAATAGAACAGCCAAGTGTGTGATGCAAACAGAACAGCCAAGTGTGAGACACAAACAGAAGAGCCAAGTGTGAGATACAAACAGAACAGCCAAGTGTATGACACAAACAGAACAGCCAAGTGTGAGACACAAACAGAACAGCCAAGTGTGTGACACAAATAGAACAACCAAGTGTGAGACACAAACAGAACAGCCAAGTGTGAGACACAAACAGAACAGCCAATTGTGAGATACAAACAGAACAGCCAAGTGTGTGACACAAACAGAACAGCCAAGTTTGTGACACAAACAGAACAGCCAAGTGTGATAGAAACAGAACAGACAAGTGTGTGATAGAAACAGAACAGACAAGTGTGTGATAGAAACAGAACAGCCAAGTTTGTGACACAAACAGAACAGCCAAGTGTGATAGAAACAGAACAGACAAGTGTGTGATAGAAACAGAACAGCTGATGTGATAAACAAACAATAAAAAGTTGCAGGACAGCAAAGTAGAATTCAGAAAGCTAATGGACAGAACAGAGCAGGCCAGAAGTTGAGGCTGGCTAACACTGTATACCATGGAGACATGTCCGATGTGCGGTGAGGATAACCTTTTGACTAACTAACTAGTTAACTAAATAACTAACTAACTAGTCAACTAACTAACTGACTAACTAACTAGTCAACTGACTAACTAAATTACTAACTAACTAGTTAATAAACTAAACTAGACTAAAAAACTGAAGTCAACCAACTAATGACTAACTAATAGTCAATAACTAGAAGCGAACTAACTAACTAGTCAACTGGACTAAATTAACAAAGTCAACTAACTAACTGACTAACTAACTAGTCAACTAACTGACTAACTAACTAGTCAACTAACTAACTGACTAACTAACTAGTCAACTAACTAACTAGTCAACTAACTAACTGACTAACTAACTAGTCAACTAACTAACTAACTAACTAAATAACTAACTAACTAGTTAACTAAATAACTGACTAACTAACTAGTCAACCAACTAACTGACTAACTAACTAGTCAACTAACTAACTGATTAACTAACTAGTCAACTGATTAACTAACTAGTCAACTAACTAACTGACTAACTAATTAGTCAACTAACTGACTAACTAACTAGTCAACTAACTAACTGACTAACTAACTAGTCAACTAATTAACTAACTAATTAAGTAACTGACTAACTAGTCAACTAGCTAACTAACTAACTAACTAGTTAACTAAATAATTTAAAAAGTTGTACCACAGGTACTTGTCTGATGTGTAGTGAGGATAATCTTTTGACTAACTAACTAGTCAACTAATTAACTAACTAATTAACTAACTGACTAACTAGTCAACTAGCTAACTAACTAACTAACTAGTTAACTAAATAATTAAAAACATTGTACCACAGGTACTTGTCTGATGTGTAGTGAGGATAATCTTTCAATTAACTATCTAACTAGTTAACACTCTATCAGACAATTTGCAATGACAGTCGGTGAGGTTTCCTCATTCAAAGTTTGGCTCAACCAGATTCACAAAGCCCAAGTATGAAAGTTGTTACAAAAGAAAGAATTAGTTGTCAGAAAAATTGGACTTACCAAAGTTGCAGATTCACTTTGATATTGTTGTCCCAGTCTAAACTTTTTAATGCAAAATCCACACCGATGGTCAGCTTATAGTTTGGTGAAAAGTAACCTGAGAGACAAGAGTTATAGAACTTGTTGTATAAACAATTTCCATATTCAGTTTACATCTCCCCCCCCCCCCCCCCCCCCCCCCCCATCTTTTTCGATGTCTCTCTCTCTCTTTCTCATGAGGAGGCCTGTCTTTTTTTTTTTTGGTTTTTTCTATCATTCCACGATATTCTATGCATTCTTGTCAGAAATCACATCTCCACTAGAAGTCAGAAATCACGTCTCCACTAGCAGTCAGAAATCACATCTGCACTACCATTCCGAAATCACATCTGCACTACCAGTCAACAATTGTTGAGCTTGGCTACTCATTGTCCATGTCTCACATGAGTGTCTGCTTCTTCTTCTTGCATCCACCAGCTGTAAACTCTGCATGTAACAACAGAGGTTCTGTCTAGCACTTAAACTCTATCACTGAAACTGAAATCTTATTGGTGTGTTCAGCTGTGGGTAGAAAGCAATAATCTGCACAACTGTCTCCAAGTTCAGCTGTGTGTAGAAAGCAATAATCTACACAACTGTCTCCAAGTTCAGCTGTGGGTAGAAAGCAATAATCTACACAACTGTCTTCAAGTTCAGCTGTGGGTAGAAAGCAATAATCTACACAACTGTCTCCAAGTTCAGCTGTGGGTAGAAAGCAATAATCTACACAACTGTCTCCAAGTTCAGCTGTGTGTAGAAAGCAATAATCTACACAACTGTCTCCAAGTTCAGCTGTGTGTAGAAAGCAATAATCTACACAACTGTCTCCAAGTTCAGCTGTGGGTAGAAAGCAATAATCTACACAACTGTCTCCAAGTTCAGCTGTGGGTAGAAAGCAATAATCTACACAACTGTCTCCAAGTTCAGCTGTGGGTAGAAAGCAATAATCTGCACAACTGTCTTCAAGTTCAGCTGTGTGTAGACAGCAATAATCTACACAACTGTCTTCAAGTTCAGCTGTGTGTAGACATCAATAATCTACACAACTGTCTTCAAGTTCAGCTGTCTGTAGGCATCAATAATCTACACAACTGTCTTCAAGTTCAGCTGTGTATAGACATCTATAATCTATACAACTGTATTCAAGTTCAGCTGTGTGTAGACATCTATAATCTATACAACAGTCTTCAAGTTCAGCTGTGTGTAGACATCTATAATCTATACAACAGTCTTCAAGTTCAGCTGTGTGTAGACATCTATAATCTATACGACAGTCTTTAAGTTCAGCTGTGTTAGTTAGTTAGTTAGTTGGGTTATCATCATTGCACTCCGGACATGTCCATAGGTGCTCAGATCCTCCCCTCAGTATGAATCCCAACGTCCGATGGCTAATAGTACCAGTTCTATGTTGATTAACAAGTCTTCTGACGTGTCCGGTGTGCGTCTCGTTTTTTGCTGTGCCGATCTTAATTCCCAAGTCTGCCATTCTGGCGAGTGATGTGGATTCACTGCCACCAAAGTCCTCTATCCTTCCCATTTCTCTGAGGGCATGATAATATCAGCATGATCCATAGAGGCCGACCGTCGGTAGTGATAGCGGATCCAGCCAACCTGTCAGCTCTTTCATTTCCATCGACGCCTGCGTGTCCCGGAACAAAAATAAAGGTGACCCTCGCACAGTGGACTTCTGAATTGATTCAAGCCATTGTCTTCGCACTGAACCTGCCTGAACCCTCCCGGATCATACTCATTGAATCACTGAGTATACATATGCGGGTGTGTATTTTTGTGTTTCAAGCCAGGGCAAACGCTTGCGTCACTGCCATCACCTCCATCGTCATGCTGCTGGTTGTCATGGAGAAGGTGCCGTTGGCTTCTTTGACTGTTCTGCCCGCTGAGCGTGCTGTAAATGCCCATGCGCTTCTTCTTTGGCGTATAACTGATCCGTCTGTATAGATTAGTGCATCTGCTTCGTCTGAATTTTCACCGATGAGAGCGTTGACCTCTGCATTAACAGCAACAGGATTATCTTCTCTACATCGCCTGTTGAGTGTGTGTAGACATCTATAATCTATACAACAGTCTTCAAGTTCAGCTGTGTGTAGACATCTATAATCTATACAACTGTATTCAAGTTCAGCTGTGTGTAGACATCTATAATCTATACAACTGTATTCAAGTTCAGCTGTGTGTAGACATCTATGATCTACACAACAGTCTTCAAGTTCAGCTGTGCTTAGGCATCTATGATCTATACAACAGTCTTCAAGTTCAGCTGTGCGTAGACATCTATGATCTATACAACAGTCTTCAAGTTCAGCTGTGCGTAGACATCCCGGTGCTATGGAGTTCATGCACTGCACTGAGGTTTTTCATACTCGGGCTTGAGTTAGAAGCAGAACGGAGCACTTAGGGGTTACTACTCTTTTGCCATGATGTTGATTTGTTGTTTAAACCTAAACTTAAACTTTGTCTGCTAAAGATGTCTGGTTGAACAACATTTTAAAAACAGAAAATACTTTTCTGTAATCAAAATATTACAATTTAAAGAGGCCACCCCCACCCCATTTTCCACCAGCAGAACCATTCAGAAAGCAACAACAACAACAAAAAAATTTGAGAACAAAGAATATTTACAGAGGATATGAACAAGAACAAACACATCAAACACAACAGGAGATATATTTAGGGGATATAATCCTTTACTGTGAACAAGGGACATAAACACGGACTGTCAACAAGGAACATAAACATGGACTGTCAACAAGGAACATAAACATAGACTGTCAACAAGGAACATAAACATGGACTGTCAACAAGGAACATAAACATGGACTGTCAACAAGGAACATAAACATGGACTGTCAACAAGGAACATAAACACGGACTGTCAACAAGGAACATAAACATGGACTGTCAACAAGGAACATAAACATGGACTGTCAACAAGGAACATAAACATTGACTGTCAACAAGGAACATAAACATGGACTGTCAACAAGGAACATAAACATGGACTGTCAACAAGGAACATAAACACGGACTGTCAACAAGGAACATAAACACGGACTGTCAACAAGGAACATAAACATGGACTGTCAACAAGGAACGTAAACACGGACTGTCAACAAGGGACGTAAACACGGACTGTCAACAAGGGACGTAAACACGGACTGTCAACAAGGGACGCAAACATGGACTGTCAACAAGGAACATAAACATGGACTGTCAACAAGGGACATAAACATGGACTGTCAACAAGGAACAGAAACACGGACTGTCAGCAAGGAACATAAACATGGACTGTCAACAAGGAACATAAACATGGACTGTCAACAAGGGACATAAACAAAGACTGTCAACAAGGAACATAAACATGGACTGTGAACAAGGGACATAAAGAAGGACAGTCAACAAGGAACATAAACATGGACTGTCAACAAGTAACATAAACATGGACTGTCAACAAGGAACATAAACATGGACTGTCAACAAGGAACATAAACATGGACTGTCAACAAGGGACATAAACATGGACTGTCAACAAGGAACGTAAACACGGACTGTCAACAAGGGACGTAAACATGGACTGTCAACAAGGAACATAAACACGGACTGTGAACAAGGGGACATAAACACGGACTGTAAACAAGGAACATAAACATTGACTGTCAACAAGGGACATAAACACGGACTGTAAACAAGGAAACAAGGAACATAACCATGGACTGTGAACAAGGGAACATAAACGCAGACTGTCAACAATGAGTATTAACAAGGAACATAAACATGGACTGTGAACCACGGACATAAACATAATGTGAAGAAGGGGACATAAACATGGACTGTAAACAAGGGACATAAACATGAACTGTGAACAAGGGACATAAACATGGACTGTGAACAAGGGACATAAACACGGACTGTGAACAAGGGACATAAACATAAAGCGAAGAAAGAGACATAAACATGGACTGTAAACAAGGGACATAAACACGGACTGAACAAGGGACATGAACTGTGAACATAGGACATACAGGAACTGTCAACAAGAGAGATAACCATGGTCTGTGAACAAGGGACATAAACTGACCTTCTGTATATCTACGAATTAAAGATGTCTTCCCTGTGAATGAGGAAAACAGATTTTTAAAAATTCCTGACCGCCACACAGACACTGTACTAACAATAAAAACAACTGGTCCATACATGACATATTACACCACATACCGTCCTTTTTAAGATGAAATTTTTAGTTATTTGAAGCCCCACCCTGGCTGTTGCCAGGAGCCGCAATATAGCCAGGCCATAAATATGGCCAAATGGCTGAACGCGGTTTCTGGGACCTCTCCGCTGTGATCCTCATCCACATGGTGGCACATTGTGTCATCGGGTGTTTATTGCTTGTGTGATGTCCTGGTGGGGTAGAAAGTTAGTCAGTCCATACAGTTTACTACGTGTATGTAGTCACTGGGAGCCCTAGTACAACTGTTATGCAATTGACTGAGATTTCTGGATCTGACACTCACCCACACTGGCTACAGTTTACTTTGGAACTGTTTTGTGATGGCCCAATATAACTGTGCTAAATAGGGTGGGGTTTCTTCCTAGTCACCATCACCATCACCCTCACCCTCACCATCACCCTCACCCTCACCCTCACCATCACCCTCACCCTCACCATCACCCTCACCCTCACCATCACCCTCACCCTCACCCTCACCATCACCATCACCCTCACCATCACCCTCACCATCACCATCACCCTCACCATCACCCTCACCATCACCATCACCATCACCCTCACCATCACCCTCACCATCACCCTCACCCTCACCATCACCCTCACCATCACCATGGTCTGTGAGTCCCATGTCTCCTCATAGCGCAACATAACACTATCATCTGGAAAAGGCGGAAAGGTGCCAATCACCCGTCAATTATGGCGTGGGGTTTCCAGGATTTTACTTGTTTATTCTCATCCTTTAGACTGTAATCCTCAAGGAAAACAACTTAAAAAAAATAACAAATAGAAAAAAAAACCTACAGCATCAGAGACCCACCTAGACTGGACTATAAGCTTTTCTGCAAACAGTTTTATGGTGCGTCCGTATAACTTTACATGATAATAACTTGACAGGAAAAGGATATAAATCTGGCCACATACCAGTCGATAATATGAAAATAAAACGAATGGAAACATATAAGTACTTGGGTGCAAACTACATGCTGAGAAAAGAAATACAATCTAGAATACAAAATGGAAATAAAGTATACTGTGCCCTTCAACATCCGCTAAAGTCAAAGTGTCTGTCTCACAACACCATAATTAAAATATATAAAATGTTGATTAGACCAGTGATGTTATATGGCTCTGAAACTTGGAGCACAACTAAAAGAAATGTAGCCTTATTACAGGTTTTTGAAAACAGAGTCTTACGATTAATTTTTGGACACATCAAAGTTGCAAACAGCAGTTAATGGAGAGTGAGAAGCAACAATGAAATTCATAATTTGTTCAAATCACCACTGATCACTGGCACCATCAGAGCTCATAGAGTGAAATGTTTGGGGCATATTAAAAGAATGTCAGATGACAGAAGTAAAAACTGTATACACCAAGGAGATGAATGGCTGTAGACCACGAGGGAGACCAGAAGACGATAGAGAGATAATATCCAGACAGACCTGCAAACACTTGATGTCACCAACTGGAAAGAGAAGGCCAACCAGAGAGATGAATGGAGGCCAGGGATATCTGCAGCAATGAACCTCAAGGGCTCAAAATGCTGAAGAAGAAGAAGTATAACTTTGCTATCAGCTAAACAGGGTTTTTAGGGAAAACTTTCAACATCATACAAGGATTAAAAAAAACTAGCTACTTCATAACTATTTTGTGATGACCTTATACAACTGTGCTAGATGACAGAAGACACCCAGGCACTCATCCACATACCTGACACATATCCACACACCTGTAACACCCATCCACACACCTATAACACCCATCCACACACCTATAACATCCATCCACACACCTAAGACACCCATCCACACACCTAAGACACCCATCCATACACCTAAGACACCCATCCATACACCCAAGATACCCATTCACTCACCTAAGACACCCATCCATACACCTAAGACACCCAGCTACCCATCCATACACCTAAGATACCCAGCCACCCATCCATACACCCAAGATACCCATTCACACACCTAAGACACCCATCCATACACCCAAGACACCCATTCACACACCTAAGACACCCATCCATACACCTAAGATACCCAGCCACCCATCCATACACCCAAGATACCCATTTACACACCTAAGACACCCATCCATTCACGATACCCAGCCACCCAACCCTACACCCAAGATACCCATTCACAAACCTAAGACACCCATCCATACACCTAAGATACCCAGCCACCCATCCATACACCAAAGATACCCATTCACACACCTAAGACACCCATCCATACACCTAAGACACCCAGCTACCCATCCATGCACCTTAGACACCCATCCATACACCTAAGACACCCATCCATACACCTAAGACACCCATCCATACACCTAAGATACCCAGCTAACCATCCATACACCCAAGATACCCATTCACACACCTAAGACACCCAACCACACACAATAGATACCCAGCTACCCATCATACACCCAAGATACCCATTCACACACCTAAGACACCCATCCATACACCTAAGACACCCAGCTACCCATTCATACACCCAAGATACCCATCCATATACCTAAGACACCCAGCTACCCATCCATACACCTAAGACACCCATCCATACACCTAAGACACCCAGCGTCCCATCCATACACCCAAGATACCCATCCATACACCTAAGACACCCTCCATACACCTAAGACACCCTCCATACACCTAAGAAACCCATCCATACACATAAGACACCCATCCATACACCTAAGACACCCATCCATACACCTAAGACACCCATCCATACACCTAAGACACCCATCCATGCACCTAAGACACCCATCCATGCACTTAAGACACCCATCCATACACCTAAGACACCCATCCATACACCTAAGACACCCATCCATACACCTAAGACACCCATCCATACACCTTAGACACCCATCCATGCACCTAAGACACCCATCCATACACTTAAGACACCCATCCATACACCTAAGACACCCATCCATACACCTAAGACACCCATCCATACACCTAAGACACCCATCCATACACCTTAGACACCCATCCATGCACCTAAGACACCCATCCATACACCTAAGACCCCCATCCATAAACCTAAGACACTCAGCCACCCATCCGTACACCTAAGACACCCCTCCACACACCTAAGACACCCAGCTACTCATCCATACACCCATCTACACACCTAAGACCCCCAGCTACCCATCCACACACCTAAGACACCTATCCACACAATTAGGACACCCAGCGACCCTTGTAAATACATTTTTTACATCTTTGTAGTCTGAGATTCTCTCAATATGCCTCTACCATTTCTGTATATTAGCCATACATTCCATCTAATTATATCCAAGTGGAAAAATACTTAAACTTGTGTACTTGTGCTAAAATAACGCCAATGACTTCTATTACATATGTAGGCAGAACTTGAGCTAAATTAGTTGAGTACTTTTCTGTGAAATTGGCGATGCAATTGCTTCTTTCTCAGACCTTCTTTATTCAAGCTAATTCATCAGCCGGCGCGACTATCGCAACTTCATTCACGGAACTACTGACCCAATAGAACTCCCCAGTTTGCACGATATCAAAAGAGCACTTACCGACGCCGAACTCCCCGATGACTAGAACTTTGTACAAATGTTCAGTGAGATTGTTGGAGCCGCTAGCTCGCAAGGCCAGTTGTTGAGGGTTGGGTCCGGCCATAGTCTGTAAACATTGTCTGTCATGTGACTCGGACTGGCACGTGACTTCCGCCGTTTCTGGTTACCACAGAAACACACCAAGCCAAAGCTCCCTGTTTCCCAGATACGTCTTGTTTATCTTCCGTTGTTCTCATTGATATCAATGCACGTGAAGCAATCAATACCATGCATGCTCAGTCCCCCGAAATAGCAGCCACTCCAAGAAATATTAGTTAGTTAGTTAGTTAGTTAGTTGGGTTATCCTCATTGCACTCCGGACATGTCCATAGGTGCTCAGATCCTCCCCTCAGTATGAACCCCAACGTCCGATGGCTAATAGTATCAGTTCTATGTTGATTAACAAGTCTTCTGGCATGTCTGGTGTGCGTCTCGTTTTTTGCTGTACCGATCTTAATTCCCAAGTCTGCCATTCTGGCGAGTGATGTGGATTCACTGCCACCAAAGTCCTCTATCCTTCCCATTTCTCTGAGGGCATTGATAATATCAGCATGATCCATAGGCTGATCCAAGAAATATAAGATTCTTAAATTATAGAACACAGCTTGGGTACCCTTCACCATTCGTTTGATCTTTTGGGGGCTGAGTGGTGAGTGATTAGAAAGGATTATGCACTCCGGACAGATCCATAAGTGCTCGGATCTTCTCCTCAGAAGCTCCACAAATGTAAAATGACTGATGACGCCAGTTCTGTGTTGGTTAATGAAACCTCTTGTCCCGTTGTTGAAATGCTCCAGGCTGCTCCTCTATGTCCAGCAGTTTAGACTGGGATACGGAGTCATGTCCTTTGGCGTGTTCCTCGGAACGCTAAGTGCAGCGCATGGCATTGATAACATCACTTCTGTCCAGTATTGGACCAGCTATAGCAACCGCAGTGTCAGCAAGATAGTCTGTACGCTCGTTCCCTTGAACACCCACATGACCTGGCACAAAGATGAAGGTTAGGGCAGATATTCGTGAAATGGGTTCTCCTTAAAAATACAGCCACTTATTATGGCGGCCGGGGGAGTACGCCGGAGTTCAGTACTCTGGCCGCATTGCAATTGCGGAGTGGAACAGAGGGAACGAAACAATTGGCGATAGCACTGCTGTCATAATAGAGTTAGGGTCAGGGTTAGGGTTAGGTAACACATGTAACGTGGAGAACTTACCCATAATGACGGCCGCTATACCTGATAATTTTGACACAGGAGTTACAAATAATGGCCGAAAATGTGCTGCTTGTGGCAGTTACCTGAATGTTCCTTATAACTCTATGCTCAGCTAGCCATCGCAACCACGCAAGCTTATCGCTCATTAAGACATAAAGATCCGCAGGTCTCACATCCACGGCCACTAAGTCTTGCTTCGCTAATTTGAGTCGCAGCGCGTGGTCTACCAGCCATGTCGACCTCACTTTGTTTTGTAATTCGTGCCTTTTCCACTCCGTAATTGCAATGCGGCCAGGGGACTGAACTCCGGCGTACTCCCCGGCCGTCATAATAAGTGGCCGTAGTTTTAAGGAGAACCGTGAAGTGCTTAGTGTTGCAATCCAGCTTGGATTTTTTAAAGCATATTTATCGAGTCACTAAGAATGCATAAGTGTGTGAACTTTTTGAGATCAATCCATGCTAAAGCCCTTGTTACAACCATAGTTTCCATTGTAAGGCTACTAGTTGTAACATCAAAGGCGCCATTCATCTCCGTGATGGCTGTCCCCCTTGAGCTTACTGTGAATGCCCATGCATTTAGTTGCCATCAATAATCTGAGTGATCTCGGGGCATGATGTTGGCCACAAGATTGTTTCACGTGGACTTTAGTAATTTTCCCTGGTCTCCAGGTACAAAGATCGGACGCACGTGTGTATTACTGCGTACATAAAAGAATCCCTTGGCAGTTGGAAATCAAAAAGAGTAGCCAAATGGCACTGCCCGGTCAAAATGTAGAGTTACAAATCAGGATCCTCAGAGTTCGTGCACTGCGCTGAGATTCTTCAGACTCAGGCTTGAGTTAGAAGTCAAACGGAGCACTTGTGGGTTACTACACTTGTGCCATGATGTTGATCCGTTGTTTAAAACCCTTTTAACTTTCAGCAGCCAGCGCAAACTTCAAATACCGTTGATACAAGCTGTAGTGTGATTACGTGTCCACATTCCACAATCTAATTTCATGTCTATCTTATTGCGGTTTGATTATAAGTCTATTTTCATTGCGGTCTGGTAACATGTCTATCTTATTGCAGTTTGATTATAAGTCTATTTTCATTGCGGTCTGATAACATGTCTGTCTTATTGCGGTTTGATTATAAGTATATTTTCATTGCGGTCTGATAACATGTCTGTCTTATTGCGGTTTGATTATAAGTCTATTTTCATTGCGGTCTGGTAACATGTCTATCTTATTGCAGTTTGATTATAAGTCTATTTTCATTGCGGTCTGGTAACATGTCTATCTTATTGCGGTTTATTAAGCATGTCTATCTTTTGAGTTTGATTATAGTCTATTTTCATTGCGGTCTGATAACATGTCTATCTTATTGCGGTTTGATTATAAGTCTATTTTCATTGCGGTCTGGTAACATGTCTGTCTTATTGCGGTTTGATTATAAGTCTATTTTCATTGCGGTCTGGTAACATGTCTGTCTTATTGCGGTTTGATTATAAGTCTATTTTCATTGCGGTCTGGTAACATGTCTGTCTTATTGCGGTTTGATTATAAGTCTATTTTCATTGCGGTCTGGTAACATGTCTTATTGCAGTTTGATTATAAGTCTATTTTCATTGCGGTCTGGTAACATGTCTATCTTATTGCGGTTTGATTATAAGTCTATTTTCATTGCGGTCTGTAACATGGTATTGCAGTTTGATTACAGTCTATTTTCATTGCGGTCTGATAACATGTCTATCTTTTGCGGTTTGATTATAAGTCTATTTTTCATTGCGGTCTGGTAACATGTCTATCTTATTGCGGTTTGATTATAAGTCTATTTTCATTGCGGTCTGGTAACATGTCTGTCTTATTGCGGTTTGATTATAAGTCTATTTTCATTGCGGTCTGGTAACATGTCTGTCTTATTGCGGTTTGATTATAAGTCTATTTTCATTGCGGTCTGGTAACATGTCTTATTGCGGTTTGATTATAAGTCTATTTTCATTGCGGTCTGGTAACATGTCTGTCTTATTGCGGTTTGATTATAAGTCTATTTTCATTGCGGTCTGGTAACATGTCTGTCTTATTGCGGTTAGTTAGTTGTGTATCCTTTACAGGACGTTGCAGAATCAACCCCATCATTTTTTCGCTTTTATGGCTTTTCTAGGCAACTGTGACTTAGGAGTTGCGAGCACGCTTCGTAATGCCGGGTTAGATCCCAGCTGCAGACGGTTTGTCTTGCGTTGGTTTTGAAGTATTACCGAGAACTGACCGTTCAGATAGCAAGGACAAACTACTGAACGTAGCATTTGCCTAGATTAACCATAACAGCCAAAAAACGCTGGGGTTGGTTCTGCATCGTCCTGTAAAGAATATGCAACTAATTACAGTCTGATTATATGTCTGCTTTATTACAGTCTGATTATATGTCCGCTTTATTACAGTCTGATTATATGTCTGCTTTATTACAGTCTGATTATATGTCTGCTTTATTACAGTCTGATTATATGTCTGCTTTATTACAGTCTGATTATATGTCCGCTTTATTACAGTCTCTGTTTCTGGGTCCCACTGAAGAATCTGCTTACAAGCACGCCATAAACAGTCTGATTATATGTACCTAAAAGGCAAGGAGCCAGCAGTCTGCTTTATTACAGTCTGATTACCAGAATGCCTGGCTTTATTACAGTCTGATTATATGTCCTTATTGCAGTGCCTTTTACATCCATCTTATTACAGTCTGCTTATATGTCCTCCTTATTACAGTGCCATTTTACATCCGCTTTATTACAGTCTGATTATATGTCCGCTTTATTACAGTCTGATTATATGTCCACTTTATTACAGTCTGCTCCCTGTGTGGGTTTCTGGGTCCCACTGTGGGAAACACAAGAATAGACCCACTGCCTACCCACAAGCACGCCGTAACAGTCAACTAATTGGGAGCTTCCTTCAAAGTCAGAGTGCATCTACCTAAAAGGCAAGGAGCCAGCAGTCTGCATACAAATGAGCCAGATCTGTAAAACAGATGCACACGCAACACTCAGGCTTTGGAAAAGGCCTGCAGTCCAAAAGTGGATGAACAACCAGAACTTTCCGCCAGAGTTTACAGCTGGTGAACACGAAGAAGAAGAAGATTACAGTCTGCTTATATGTCCTCCTTATTGCAGTGCCATTTTATGTCCATCTTATTACAGTCTGATTATGTGTCCATCTTTGCAGTCTGATTACATGTCTGTATTATTACAGTCCGCTTACATGTCTGTATTATTGCAGTCTGATTACATGTCTGTCTTAATGCAATCTGATTACATTTCCGTTTTACTACATTTACGCCTTAATACAGTCTCATTACAAGTCTGTTTTATTACAGTCTGATTATGTCTTATTACAGTCTGATTATACCAGTCTTATTATAGTCTGATTATGTCTTATTACAGTCTGATTATGTCTTATTATAGTCTGTTATGTCTGATTACAGTCTGATTATGTCTTATTATAGTCTGTTATGTCTTATTATAGTCTGTTATGTCTTATCACAGTCTGATTATGCTGGTCCACACATTTGTGAAAGTTTTTTGGGGAACTAGAATTAAAATACATCATTGACCTGCTGAATGAAATTGGCTCTAGTTTTTTTTTGTTTGTTAATATATAATTTTTTTTATACACATGACAAATTTACATCACAGTAATGCAAATATGGTATGTTTTTTTTTTTTCAAATCCCTGGCCTGAACAGTAAGTCCTATTATTTTAACTTAACAAAAATTGTTGTTGCATACTCAATTAACAGATATTTAAACATACAATGATAGAGGGAACAATAAATAAAAACTATTTAAAGTTAATATGTTTAAAAAAGAAACATTTTAACTTTTCCCATCATTATTCAGGCACTGAGCTCTCTCTGCTTACTTCTTGTTATACTAGAAGCAAAGCCCAAGGGGGATCTTGTATAAGATGAAGGGGAGGAGATAATATGAAGGATAATATAAAAATATACTCTTTGAACCTATCTCTACTTCAGACCTACAAGAGCTCCAACAAATAATGTCTTGGTAAGTGTAAGCCAACCCACACCTGCCTAAGTAACAATAAAACATAAAGAAAAAGTTTGTTAGGTGGGAGCTAAGACCAATAGTGCCGTAACCCAGACAGGATATCTTATGTATGAAATCTAATCAGTAGTAACAGTAAAACTAGGCACACTAATGACAAGTAATAATCCAAATCAAACAACTGGAACTATATCACATTAAACATCTGTTTATTTTGCTGAACACAAAACTCACATGGTTCACAAATAACAATACATTACCAACCATCCACGTACTCGACCGGACCATGTGCTACTCACTTCACTGACAAGGAAATAAGACAATAAATGCATACAAGTCCTGGCCTTTGTGTGCTGTTCCTGCCGTTCTGTCCTGTCCCTGCCTTTCTGTGCTGTTCTTGCCGTTCTGTCCTGTCCCTGCCGTTCTGTGCTGTCCCTGTCTTTCTGTGCTGTTTCTGCCGTTCTGTGCTGTCCCTGTCTTTCTGTGCTATCCTTGCCTTTCTGTGCTGTTTCTCCCATTCTGTGCTGTTTCTGTTCTGTGCTGTCTGTGCTGTCCCTGCCTTTCTGTGATGTGCCTTTCTGTGCTGTCTCTTACTTTCTGTGCTGTATCTGCCTTTCTGTGCTGTTCCTGACTTTCTGTGCTGCTCCGGTTTATGCTTGGTTAGCTAGTCTTTTGCTATTCTTGAATCACGTTTTTTTTGGTGGCCTTTCACATACAGCTTCCATATTTAATTTCATTTGCTTTTCTTTCGTGAGCCGCAAATGTGTATGTGCAATTGTATTTGTTTCGTTTTCCTTCAGTTTTCCTCTTGCCATACATGGTTAGGAAGTAGAGTAAGTAACATAGCCTGCGGATCGGAAGGTCATGGCTTCGCTCCCTGACGGAGTCGGACTTCTATAAAATATAGGTCTAGCCCTATGTACCCAATATGCCTGAAAGGGGTGGAAAAGGGTCCTTTACTTTTCCTTATGACCATCGCAATCCCTTCAAGAATTTGATGCTACGAAGAGAATTTTATCAATGTGTCAGCGACATGGGAGCTAACAATAAAAACTCAACAAAAATGGACTATTTATATACAAAAGAGTTGTTTCCTTTAGAGTAATATAGAGAAATGAATGGACTAAAGGCTTCAACCAAATTCATCGCCAAAAATCACGATTTCAATGTGAGGGCGAGCGTCCAAGGGGTAATGGTGGTAGCCAGGCGAAAACGACGGCTGATCGCATAACGTGTAGTTGTGGTAGTGGGTTAAGAAACAGCTGTACCACTGAAACACTTTTTACAAAAGTTACATTACCGCAACATTTTAAAGATAAGGTGAAGCTGTATTATAAAGCCCCACTAGACAAGGTGAAGCTAGTTATCAAACCATTCCTTCTTATTCCTAGTGCTGGCTTGGGTACCGGACCCTGTTTTGCCTGTCCGCTCCTTGCCTGGCCAGGTAACAGAGAGTCTGTTGTGTGTATGCCTGGGTGGGCTCGAGCCAGGTCCAGCCAAAGCTGTCTGTCTGAGAGGCTCTGCCAAAGCTGTCTGTCTAGAAGACTTGGTGTTTGTGTCGGTGTCATGGGAACCCAAGGGGTCTATTTTGTTTCTGAGACACAAGATGCTGAGCCTACCAAATGGGTTAGCAGCAGTGACGTCATTCTCTGGTAAATGCCAGCCACCATCATCCTTGGCTGGTCCTGTCTCATACAGGTGTCGCTTCTGGGGAGACAATCACAGACAATTATCAGTGTGACATTGTGGAGACAATCACAGACAATTATCAGTGTGACATTGGGGAGACAATCACAGACAATTATCAGTGTGACATTGGGGAGACAATCACAGACAATTATCAGTGTGACATTGGGGAGACAATCACAGACAATTATCAGTGTGACATTGTGGAGACAATCACAGACAGTTATCAGTGTGACATTGGGGAGACAATCACAGACAATTATCAGTGTGACATTGGGGAGACAATCACAGACAGTTATCAGTGTGACATTGGGGAGACAATCACAGACAGTTATCAGTGTGACATTGGGGAGACAATCACAGACAATTATCAGTGTGACATTTGGGAGACAATCACAGTTATCAGTGTGACATTGGGGAGACAATCACAGACAATTATCAGTGTGACATTGGGGAGACAATCACAGACAATTATCAGTGTGACATTGGGGAGACAATCACAGACAGTTATCAGTGTGACATTGGGGAGACAATCACAGACAGTTATCAGTGTGACATTGGGGAGACAATCACAGACAGTTATCAGTGTGACATTGGGGAGACAATCACAGACAGTTATCAGTGTGACATTGGGGAGACAATCACAGTTATCAGTGTGACATTGGGGAGACAATCACAGTTATCAGTGTGACATTGGGGAGACAATCACAGTTATCAGTGTGACATTGGGGAGACAATCACAGTTATCAGTGTGACATTGTGAAGACAATCAGTTATCAGTGTGACATTGTGGAGACAATCACAGTTATCAGTGTGACATTGTGGAGACAATCACAGTTACAAGACAATCACAGTTATCAGTGTGACATTGGGGAGACAATCACAGTTATCAGTGTGACATTGGGGAGACAGTTATCAGTGTGACATTGTGGAGACAATTATCAGTGTGACATTGGGGAGACAATCACAGACAATTATCAGTGTGACATTGGGGAGACAATCACAGTTATCAGTGTATCAGTTATCAGTGTGACATTGTGGAGACAATCACAGACAGTGTGACATTATCAGTGTGACATTGTGGAGATCACAGTTATCAGTGTGACATTGTGGAGACAATCACAGTTATCAGTGTGACATTGTGGAGACAATCACAGTTATCAGTGTGACATTGTGGAGACAATCACAGTTATCAGTGTGACATTGTGGAGACAATCACAGTTATCAGTGTGACATTGTGGAGACAATCACAGTTATCAGTGTGACATTGGGGAGACAATCACAGTTATCAGTGTGACATTGGGGAGACAATCACAGACAGCTGAGTTGAGGCGAATCAAGAATTGACATCACAGCACTCAGGGCATTCCTATGCATGCTCCATCCTCATCTTCAGCAGCCAGCGCAGAGTTACAATACTGATGGTACAGGTCACAATCTGGTTAAAAGTCCGTCTTGTCTTTTCTCTGAGTGCAGTGAGCCGGCCAGACCCTCTGGTTACATCCAGGTGCCTTATTCTCTCCAGGTCATAATAATCTTCTTTCTCTACTGATTCCGTTGCTTGTTCCCAAAGGGCCTTGACCACAACTGCCTTGTCATGTTCAATTCACCACCAAGTGGTGAGGATCCAGCCAGTCTGTCTACCTGTTCATTACCCACCACGCCGGCATGGCCTGGAGAAAAGATCCAAAGTATGCTAACCACCCGTGACCTTTTCAGTGAAGCCTGCCACTCTGCTCGAAGGCATCCCTGTTCTCACTCTTTTTAGCGTGCTTTCAGAGTCTCTTACAATTATGACATATGTATGCATCTTGTTCTCTAGCCACCGGAGCTGCAGTTAAAGCAAACACACACAGTTATCAGTCTCACACTGTAGAGACAATCACACATAGTTACTAGTCTAACATCATAGAGAAAATCTCACACAGTTATCAGTCTCACATTGTGGAGACAATCCCACACACAGTTATCAGTCTAACATCATAGAGACAATCCCACACACAGTTATCAGTCTAACATCATAGAGACAATCCCACACACAGTTATCAGTCTAACATCATAGAGACAATCCCACACAGTTATCACAATAGTACAGGTATAAATACAGCCGAAAGTATCAACAACATGACAGTCACCACACTATTCACCCAGTATCAACAACATGACAGTCACCACACTATTCACCCAGTATCAACAACATGACAGTCACCACACTATTCACCCAGTATCAACAACATGACAGTCACCACACTATTCACCCAGTATCAACAACATGACAGTCACCACACTATTCACCCAGTATCAACAACATGACAGTCACCACACTATTCACAGTATCAACAACATGACAGTCACCACACTATTCACCCAGTATCAACAACATGACAGTCACACTATTCACCCAGTATCAACAACATGACAGTCACCACACTATTCACCCAGTATCAACAACATGACAGTCACACTATTCACCCAGTATCAACAACATGACAGTCACCACTATTCACCCAGTATCAACAACCACTATCAGTATCAACAACATGACAGTCACCACACTATTCACTCAGTATCAACAACATGACAGTCACCACACTATTCACCCAGTATCAACAACATGACAGTCACCACACTATTCACCCAGTATCAACAACATGACAGTCACCACACTATTCACCCAGTATCAACAACATGACAGTCACCACACACACTAGTATTCACCCTAGTATCAACAACATGACAGTCACCACACTATTCACCCAGTATCAACAACATGACAGTCACCACACTATTCACCCAGTATCAACAACATGACAGTCACCACACTATTCACCCAGTATCAACAACATGACAGTCACCACACTATTCACCCAGTATCAACAACATGACAGTCACACTATTCACCCAGTATCAACAACATGACAGTCACCACACTATTCACCCAGTATCAACAACATGACAGTCACACTATTCACCCAGTATCAACAACATGACAGTCACCACACTATTCACTCAGTATCAACAACATGACAGTCACCACACTATTCACTCAGTATCAACAACATGACAGTCACCACACTATTCACCCAGTATCAACAACATGACAGTCACCACACTATTCACCCAGTATCAACAACATGACAGTCACCACACTATTCACTCAGTATCAACAACATGACAGTCACCACACTATTCACCCAGTATCAACAACATGACAGTCACCACACTATTCACCCAGTATCAACAACATGACAGTCACCACACTATTCACCCAGTATCAACAACATGACAGTCACCACACTATTCACCCAGTATCAACAACATGACAGTCACCACACTATTCACCCAGTATCAACAACATGACAGTCACCACACTATTCACCCAGTATCAACAACATGACAGTCACCACACTATTCACTCAGTATCAACAACATGACAGTCACCACACTATTCACTCAGTATCAACAACATGACAGTCACCACACTATTCACCCAGTATCAACAACATGACAGTCACCACACTATTCACCCAGTATCAACAACATGACAGTCACCACACTATTCACTCAGTATCAACAACATGACAGTCACCACACTATTCACCCAGTATCAACAACATGACAGTCACCACACTATTCACCCAGTATCAAAATGGGATTTCATAACCTAAGTTTTCTTTTTCTCCTTAGCGTTCATGGTTGGTAACTCTGGCAGAAAGTTCTGGTTAGTTGTCCGCTTTTTGATGAGAGTAATGGGGAGCAGTGAGTGTATTATTCTTGGTTTTAAAAAAAAAATGAGCTTCCTGAACTTTTACGCAGAACATAACAGTCAATACCGGATCTATATCACTAACTGCGACTACATAGTCATGAAGACCTGTTTGAACTTACTCCAATAATAAACTCTCCAGACTTGGAAATAAACCAGTCATAGACTTGAGCCGACAAGATCCACTGATAAAAGACGGGCCGCAGGCTGGGTTTCAGTAGAAACTTGTGATCACGCAGTTTGTCACTGGACACCACCAGTGTGTGTTTACCACTGCGCAGGGCCGCATACAGGAAGAAGGCATCGTCACATTTTCTGAAATAATGAGGATCATAAACTCACTAAAAAATCAAGGAAAATCATACAAAAATAAATAAATAAGAATCATCAAAAAAAAAAAAAAAAAAAAAAAAAAAATCAATTCATGCTGTTGGGTATATATGAGAGCAAATCTGGACACACCTCTGTCATGTTGTTGGGTAAATATGAGAGCAAACCTGGACACACCTCTGTCATGTTGTTGGGTATATATGAGAGCAAACCTGGACACACCTCTGTCATGTTGTTGGGTATATATGAGAGCAAATCTGGACACACCTCTGTCATCATGGTATATATGAGAGCAAACCTGGACACACCTATATGGGTATATATGAGAGCAAATCTGGACACAAATCTGGGTATATATGAGAGCAAACCTGGACACACCTCTGTCATGTTGTTGGGTATATATGAGAGCAAACTTGGACACACCTCTGTCATGTTGTTGGGTATATATGAGAGCAAATCTGTATATGAGAGCAAATCTGGACACACCTCTGTCATGTTGTTGGGTATATATGAGAGCAAACTTGGACACACCTCTGTCATGTTGTTGGGTATATATGATACAAATCTGTATATGAGAGCAAATCTGGACACACCTCTGTCATGTTGTTGGGTATATATGAGAGCAAACTTGGACACACCTCTGTCATGTTGTTGGGTATATATGAGAGCAAATCTGTATATGAGAGCAAACTTGGACACACCTCTGTCATGTTGTTAGGTATATATGAGAGCAAACCTGGACACACCTGTCATGTTGTTGGGTATATATGAGAGCAAACCTGGACACACCTGTCATGTTGTTGGGTATATATGAGAGCAAACTTGGACACACCTCTGTCATGTTGTTGGGTATATATATGAGAGCAAATCTGGACACACCTCTGTCATGTTGTTGGGTATATATGAGAGCAAACTTGGACACACCTCTGTCATGTTGTTGGGTATATATATATGAGAGCAAACCTGGACACACCTCTGTCATGTTGTTAGGTATATATGAGAGCAAACCTGGACACACTTCTGTCATGTTGTTGGGTATATATGAGAGCAAACCTGGACACACATCTGTCATGTTGTTGGGTATATATATGGGAGCAAACTTGGACACACCTCTGTCATGTTGTTGGGTATATATATGAGAGCAAACTTGGACACACCTCTGTCATGTTGTTGGGTATATATATGAGAGCAAACTTGGACACACCTCTGTCATGCTGTTGGGTATATATATGAGAGCAAACTTGGACACACCTCTGTCATGCTGTTGGGTATATATGAGAGCAAACCTGGACACACCTCTGTCATGCTGTTGGGTATATATGAGAGCAAACCTGGACACACCTCTGTCATGTTGTTGGGTATATATGAGAGCAAACTTGGACACACCTCTGTCATGTTGTTGGGTATATATATGAGAGCAAACTTGGACACACCTCTGTCATGTTGTTGGGTATATATATGAGAGCAAACTTGGACACACCTCTGTCATGTTGTTGGGTATATATATGAGAGCAAACCTGGACACACCTCTGTCATGTTGTTGGGTATATATGAGAGCAAACCTGGACACACATCTGTCATGTTGTTGGGTATATATGAGAGCAAACTTGGACACCTCTGTCATGTTGTTGGGTATATATATGAGAGCAAACCTGGACACACCTCTGTCATGTTGTTGGGTATATATGAGAGCAAACCTGGACACACATCTGTCATGTTGTTGGGTATATATATGGGAGCAAACTTGGACACACCTCTGTCATGTTGTTGGGTATATATATGAGAGCAAACTTGGACACACCTCTGTCATGTTGTTGGGTATATATGAGAGCAAACTTGGACACACCTCTGGCATGTTGTTGGGTATATATATGAGAGCAAACCTGGACACACCTCTGTCATGTTGTTGGGTAAATATATGAGAGCAAACCTGGACACACCTCTGTCATGCTGTTAGGTATATATGAGAGCAAACCTGGACACAACACCTTCAAGTGTTGGGTATATATGAGAGCAAACCTGGACAAACCACCTTTGTGCTGTAGGTATATATGAAAGCAAACCTAGACACACCACCTTTGTGCTGTAGGTATATATGAAAGCAAACCTAGACACAAATTAAATGTTGTTAGGTATATACGAGAGCAAACCTGGACAAATAGAGACAACACTTACATGGTAGAGGTCATGTAGACAACACTTATGTGATAGAGGTAATGTAGACAACACTTACATGACAGAGGTAATGTAGACAACACTTACATGACAGAGGTAATGTAGACAACACTTACATGGTAGAGGTAATGTAGACAACACATACATGGTAGAGGTAATGCAGACAACACTTACATGGTAGAGGTAATGCAGACAACACTTACATGGTAGAGGTAATATAGACAACACTTACATGGTAGAGGTCATGTAGACAACACATACATGGTAGAGGTCATGTAGACAACACATACATGATAGAGGTAATGTAGACAACACCTACATGGTAGAGGTCATGTAGACAACACCTACATGGTAGAGGTCATGTAGACAACACCTACATGGTAGAGGTCATGTAGACAACACCTACATGGTAGAGGTAATGTAGACAACACTTACATGGTAGAGGTAATGTAGACAACACCTACATGGTAGAGGTAATGTAGACAACACATACATGGTAGAGGTAATGCAGACAACACCTACATGGTAGAGGTAATGCAGACAACACTTACATGATAGAGGTAATGTAGACAACACTTACATGGTAGAGGTAATGTAGACAACACCTACATGGTAGAGGTAATGTAGACAACACCTACATGGTAGAGGTCATGTAGACAACACATACATGGTAGAGGTCATGTAGACAACACATACATGGTAGAGGTCATGTAGACAACACCTACATGGTAGAGGTCATGTAGACAACACTTACATGGTAGAGGTAATGTAGACAACACTTACATGATAGAGGTAATGTAGACAACAATTACATGATAGAGGTAATGTAGACAACACTTACATGATAGAGGTAATGTAGACAACACCTACATGGTAGAGGTAATGTAGACAACACTTATATGGTAGAGGTAATGTAGACAACACTTACATGATAGAGGTAATGTAGACAACAATTACATGATAGAGGTAATGTAGACAACACTTACATGATAGAGGTAATGTAGACAACACCTACATGGTAGAGGTAATGTAGACAACACCTACATGGTAGAGGTCATGTAGACAACACATACATGGTAGAGGTCATGTAGACAACACTTACATGGTAGAGGTAATGTAGACAACACTTACATGATAGAGGTAATGTAGACAACACTTACATGATAGAGGTAATGTAGACAACACCTACATGGTAGAGGTAATGTAGACAACACCTACATGGTAGAGGTAATGTAGACAACACCTACATGGTAGAGGTAATGTAGACAACACCTACATGATAGAGGTAATGTAGACAACACTTACATGGTAAAGGTTATGTAGACAACACATACATGGTAGAGGTCATGTAGACAACACCTACATGGTAGAGGTAATGTAGACAACACTTACATGGTAGAGGTCATGTAGACAACACTTACATGGTAGAGGTCATGTAGACAACACTTACATGGTAGAGGTCATGTAGACAACACTTACATGGTAGAGGTCATGTAGACAACACTTACATGATAGAGGTCATATAGACAACACATACATGGTAGAGGTCATGTAGACAACACTTACATGATAGAGGTAATGTAGACAACACTTACATGGTAGAGGTCATGTAGACAACACTTACATGGTAGAGGTCATGTAGACAACACTTACATGATAGAGGTCATGTAGACAACACTTACATGATAGAGGTCATGTAGACAACACTTACATGGTAGAGGTCATGTAGACAACACTTACATGGTAGAGGTCATGTAGACAACACTTACATGATAGAGGTCATGTAGACAACACTTACATGGTAGAGGTCATGTAGACAACACTTACATGGTAGAGGTCATGTAGACAACACATACATGGTAGAGGTAATGTAGACAACACTTACATGGTAAAGGTCATGTAGACAACACTTACATGGTAGAGGTCATGTAGACAACACATACATGGTAGAGGTCATGTAGACAACACATACATGGTAGAGGTCATGTAGACAACACATACATGGTAGAGGTCATGTAGACAACACCTACATGATAGAGGTCATGTAGACAACACTTACATGGTAGAGGTCATGTAGACAACACATACATGGTAGAGGTCATGTAGACAACACCTACATGATAGAGGTAATGTAGACAACACTTATATGGTAGAGGTCATGTAGACAAAACTTACATGGTAGAGGTTATGTAGACAACACCTACATGGTAGAGGTCATGTAGACAACACATTACATGATAGAGGTCATGTAGACAACACTTACACGGTAGAGGTCACGTAGACAACACTTACGTGGTAGAGGTCATGTAGACAACACTAACGTGGTAGAGGTCATGTGGACAACACTTACGTGGTAGAGGTCATGTAGACAACACTTATGTGATAGAGGTCATGTAGACAACACTTACGTGGTAGAGGTCACGTAGACAACACTTACGTGGTAGAGGTCACGTAGACAACACTTACGTGGTAGAGATCACGTAGACAACACTTACGTGGTAGAGGTCATGTAGACAACGCTTACGTGGTAGAGGTCACGTAAACAACACTTACGTGGTAGAGGTCATGTAAACAACTGGCTTGTCCTTCAACTTTCTGATAAGATTTGTGTAGCCTGTAAGCATACGAGTGCCCAAAACCAAGACTTTTTTCCCTTGCAGAGTAAAATACTCCACTACCTTCGCCAGCTAATGAACCGTCAGAAACAACCACAGAACAAGTCAAAGAAAAGATATGCATCTGGGTAATCATATACAATATGTAAACAAGTTCAAGAAGATTTTCTACTCACACATACACACACATCACTAGACACACACATGACTTAATATGCACATAAATCCACATGCACATGACCCGACACACACATGACTCAATACACATTACTCAACAAACACATAAAATCTAAACGAATTCAAGTTATTCTCTCTCACACACATGACTCAATCCCCACACAATCTAAACAAATTCAAGTTACCCCCCCCCCCATAAGTAGACTGTGTGTATCAAAGCTCATATGTGTGTATCATAGCTTCACTTGTGTGTATCATAGCTCACTTGTGTGTATCATAGCTACTTGCGTGTATCATAGCTACTTGCGTGTATCATAACTCGCTTGTGTGTATTATAACTCTGTGTGTATTATAGCTCACTTGTGTGTATTATAACTCACTTGTGTGTATTATAGCTCACTTGTGTGTATTATAGCTCACTTGCGTGTATTATAGCTCACTTGTGTGTATTATAACTCTGTGTGCATTATAGCTCGCTTGTGTGCATTATAGCTCGCTTGTGTGTATTATAGCTCGCTTGTGTGTATTATAGCTCACTTGTGTGTATTATAGCTCACTTGTGTGTATTATAGCTCACTTGTGTGTATTATAGCTCACTTGTGTGTATTATAGCTCACTTGTGTGTATTATAGCTCACTTGTGTGTATTATAGCTCACTTGTGTGTATTATAGCTCACTTGTGTGTATTATAGCTCACTTGTGTGTATTATAGCTCACTTGTGTGTATTATAGCTCACTTGTGTGTATTATAGCTCACTTGTGTGTATTATAGCTCACGTGTGTATTATAGCTCACTTGTGTGTATTATAGCTCACTTGTGTGTATTATAGCTCACTTGTGTGTATTATAGCTCACTTGTGTGTATTATAGCTCACTTGTGTGTATTATAGCTCACGTGTGTGTATTATAGCTCACTTGTGTGTATTATAGCTCACGTGTGTATCATAACTCACTTGTGTGTATCATAACTCACTTGTGTGTATCATAGCTCACTTGTGTGTATTATAGCTCACTTGTGTGTATTATAGCTCACTTGTGTGTATTATAGCTCACTTGTGTGTATTATAGCTCACTTGTGTGTATTATAGCTCATGTGTGTGTATTATAGCTCACTTGTGTGTATTATAGCTCACGTGTGTATCATAACTCACTTGTGTGTATTGTAGCTCACTTGCGTGTAGCTGTTATATATAAATTTTCATATTTATGAATGGCATCTTGTGCACACATTTAATATGAATTGTCTTGTGCACACATGTCATATGGATGGTATCTTGTGCACATGCCATATGGATGGTATCTTGTGCACACATATCGTATCGCCTACATATGATGAAATGTGTCATTCTTGTGACAATAAAAGAAACCGTTGCAAACATGAGCAAATGACACGTATGTCAGAATAATGCATACCACGCACTAACTACTGACTTCCAACAGATGGGACCATGTCTATTCATTAGCAGTTATGATCCACAAAGATGACACAAAACAACTGACTTTCACAGATGCCATCATGTCTCACAAACATAAATATGACAAATGAGTTACCTGTCTGGGGTCTGACTTGCCATGGCAGCCCCGGTACATCACATTCAAGCCATCAATGACCACATCAAAGGGGCCCGTTTTCTCCACAAATTTCACAAAGAAGTCAACCTCCTCTGGGCTGGATTTAAAGAAGACATTGTTTCCTACAATCACCTGATCCAGAAAGATTGACTGGATTGAATGGAAGTCACTGGAGTCAACCTCTGACCTCTTCATCTGATGTCCACAGATACTGCAGTGACCTCTTTGGATACCCAAAAAGAAAACAAACTCATGTTCAAAACAACACACATCATGTAAACAAATTCAAGTTAACTGGTATGGAGAAAATAAACATCAGTATAGAGAAAAAAGACACTGGTACAGAGAAAATAAACATAAGAATGGAGAAAATAAACATTGGTGTGGAAAAAATAAACATTGGTGTGAAGAAAATAAACACTGGAGTGGAGACTTAGACTTACTTGTGGTGGTTAATGAAGTGAGACCTACTTGTGGTGGTTAATGAAGTGAGACTTACTTGTGGTGGTTAATGAAGTGAGACTTACTTGTGTTGGTTAATGAAGTGAGACCTACTTGAGTTGGTTAATGAAGTGAGACTTACTTGTGGTGGTTAATGAAGTGAGACTTACTTGTGGTGGTTAATGAAGTGAGACTTGCTTGTGTTGGTTAATGAAGTGAGACTCGCTTGTGGTGGTTAATGAAGTGAGACTTGCTTGTGTTGGTTAATGAAGTGAGACTCGCTTGTGGTGGTTAATGAAGTGAGACTCACTTGTGGTGGTTAATGAAGAGAGACTCGCTTGTGGTGGTTAATGAAGTGAGACTCACTTGTGGTGGTTAATGAAGAGAGACTTACTTGTGGTGGTTAATGAAGTGAGACTTACTTGTGGTGGTTAATGAAGTGAGACCTACCTGTGTTGGTTAATGAAGTGAGACTTACTTGTGGTGGTTAATGAAGTGGGACTTACTTGTGGTGGTTAATGAAGTGAGACCTACTTGTGGTGGTTAATGAAGTGAGACTTACTTGTGGTGGTTAATGAAGTGAGACCTACTTGTGGTGGTTAATGAAGTGAGGCCTACTTGTGTTGGTTAATGAAGTGAGACCTACTTGTGGTGGTTAATGAAGTGAGGCTTACTTGTGGTGGTTAATGAAGTGAAACTTACTTGTGGTGATTAATGAAGTGAGACTTACTTGTGTTGGTTAATGAAGTGAGACTTACTTGTGGTGATTAATAAAGCCATAGTTGGCTGTCCACTGATTAGGCTGATACCTGCAGATAGACAGGAAATAAAGAACACTCAATGTTCTGGTACTGCAAGTTCTTAAGTACAGTCACATAAACAGGCACAGTTCGTGTGTAGACTCTAACACAACCACTCAATGTCCTGGTACTGTAAGTTCTTAAGTATAGTCACACAAACAGGCACAGTTCGTGTGTAGACTCCCCCACAACCACTTAATGTCCTGGTACTGTAAGTTCTTAAGTACAGGCACAGTTCTTGTGTAGACTCCCCCACAACCACTTAATGTCCTGGTACTGTAAGTTCTTAAGAATAGTCAAACAAACAGGCACAGTTCTTGTGTAGACTCCCCCACAACCACTTAACGTCCTGGTACTGCAAGTTCTTAAGTACAGTCACACAAACACGCACAGTTCTTGTGTAGACTCCCCCACAGCCACTTTAATGTCCTGGTACTGCAAGTTACAATCATTTAAACAATGTTGGATGAGTGCTGTTACAACACTTGAACTATGTTGGATGAGTGCTGTTTCAAAACCTGAACAATTTTAGGTGAGTGCAGTTACAACATTTAATCAGTATTGGATAAGAGCAATTACAACACTTAACAGGTGTTGGATTAGTGCCGTTACAACACTCAACCAGCCCATCGATTAGATAAGAACGAATTCCTTCCAGGTAAGTGAAATCAACCAAGTCACCTGTGAAATGCTTGAACTACTTCCTCCAGCTCAGCTCTCTTCAACACAAGCTTGTGCTTCTGCATGAAGTTCATCACCATCTCCAGACATGCCTGGCTGTTGCCAGAAAGGCCCTCTTCTATTACCTGTAGCAAAAAAAGTACATCTGCAAATATCAAGATCATATTCTGCTAGAAACTGGATGACAGTCAGAGGAGAAAGATCTACCTGTAGACAACAGACAAAGGTGGAAGATCTACCTGTAGACAACAGACAAAGGTGGAAGATCTACCTGTAGACAACAGACAAAGGTGGAAGATCTACCTGTAGACAACAGAGAAAGGATAAAGATCTACCTGTAGACAAAAGACAAAGCAGGAAGATCTACCTGTAGACAACAGAGAAATGAAGAAGATCTACCTGTAGACAAAATACAAAGCAGGAAGATCTACCTGTAGACAACAGAGAAACGAAGAAGTTCTGTTTGCTTCACATGTAGCCACGCCCCTGTGTAGAGCTGCACACCATGCATTTCGGTCTTGAGGGGCAGCCTCCCAATTGGTGTCATTCATCCCAAATGCTTTGAGTGAAGACTTGAAGGTGTCCTTAAAGCGTTTCTTTTGCCCGCCTTAAGAACGTTTGCCATTTTCCAGCTTACCATAGAAGAGTGTTTTTTTTGGGAGCCTGTGATCTGGCATGCGTGCCACATGACCAGCACAACGAATCTGGTACTGCATCAGTAGAGTATGGATGCTGGGCATGGCTGCTTTCCCAAGGACTACGGTATCAGGTACTTATCTACCTGTAGATAGCAGACAAAGGAGGAAGATCTACCTGTAGACAACAGACAAAGGAGGAAGATCTACCTGTAGACAACAGACAATTGAAGAAGATCTGGTCATAGACAACAGGCAAAGGAAAAAGATCTGACCACAGACAAGAGATAAAGGAGGAGGATCTGTAGATAACAGACAAGGGAGGAAGATCTACTTTCAGACAAGACACAAAAAAAAAAAAAAAAAAAGGAAGATCTACATGAAGACAACCGACAAAGGAGGAAGATCTACCCATGGACAACAGACCAGGAAGGAAGATCAGTAGATGATAAGGAAGGACATTTTTAGACAACAGACAGCGGAGGCAGATCTAGCTGTAGACAACAGACAAAAGTGGATCATCTATATGAATACTTCAGATAAACAAAGGTAGATAATCTACCTGTATACGAAGGACATTTCATCAGGTGCCAGATAGGGATGTGTCCTCTCATTACATACATGGATAGAATTATACAGGAGGCAATTACAGACATTCAATAAATCAATGAACTCCTTTTTGGAAACAACCAGTATCTAATTCACCACAAGAACAGAATTCAGAACACCATACTTCCTGTTATTCATACATCACGAGTGATAAACACCATACTTCTTGTTATTCGTCCATCATGAGTGATAAACACCATACTTCTTGTTATTCATACATCACGAGTGATAAACACCATACTTCTTGTTATTCGTCCATCATGAGTGATAAACACCATACTTCTTGTTATTCATCCATCACAAGTGATAAACACCATACTTCTTGTTATTTATCCATCACAAGTGATAAACACCATACTCCTTGTTATTCATCCATCACAAGTGATAAACACCATACTTCTTGTTATTCATCCATCACGAGTGAAAAACACCATACTTCTTGTTATTCATCCATCACAAGTGATAAACACCATACTTCTTGTTATTCATCCATCATGATTGATAAACACTATACTTCTTGTTATTTGTCCATCACAAGTGATAAACATCATACTTCTTGTTATTCATCCATCACATGTGATAAACACCATACTTCTTGTTATTCATCCATCACGAGTGATAAACACCACACTTCTTGTTATTTATCCATCATGAGTGATAAACATCATACTTCTTGTTATTCATCCATCACATGTGATAAACACCATACTTCTTGTTATTCATCCATCACGAGTGATAAACACCACACTTCTTGTTATTTATCCATCATGAGTGATAAACACCATACTTCTTGTTATTCATCCATCACAAGTGATAAACACCATACTTCTTGTTATTCATCCATCACAAGTGATAAACACCATACTTCTTGTTATTCATCCATCACAAGTGATAAACACCATACTTCTTGTTATTCATCCATCACGAGTGATAAACACCATACTTCTTGTTATTCATCTATCATGAGTGATAAACACCATACTTCTAGTTATTCATCCATCACGAGTGATAAACACCATACTTCTTGTTATTCATCTATCATGAGTGATAAACACCATACTTCTTGTTATTCATCCATCACAAGTGATAAACACCATACTTCTTGTTATTCATCCATCATGAGTGATAAACACCATACTTCTTGTTATTCATCCATCACGAGTGATAAACACCATACTTTTTGTTATTCGTCCATCACGTGTGATAAACACCACACTTCTTGTTATTCATCCATCAAGAGTGATAAACACCACTTTTCATCCATAGTAGCAATGATCAATGATTATGAGTATGAAGATGGCTGACTAGTCCAATATGAGCCTGGAAAGTTTGTCAGCAGTCCGGACAACAGATGGAAGCCACAGTAAGTGTTGGATTAGCGATTGTGTTCTTTCTAGTCTGCCTCTGTTTCTCTGCCTGTACAACTGGATGAAAGTGACTTGCGTAAGGACTTGAGTGAGGAGGAGTTGCGCAATTTGTCAACCTCACTCTCTCAGCTGTATTCATCTTGACACTTTGATCCAATGGCAGAATAATGTCCAGACACATAGGAAAAGGTGCAGCGGATGACCAAGGCCCTGCCTTGCTTGATGCTCTCCACAGAGCCTGCTGGTATTCAACTTTTTGTGCACTGAACCATAAGAGGTTTCACCTGCACAATCCGATGATTCCAATCTTTTCTTGCAGGGTAGACATATCCCAATCACCGAGTGGTTTTGAACCAGGTCGGCTACCTTCTCTGATTTATCCAATGGTGGGGGGGGGGGGGGGGATGCTGACAGCTGCTGGAAGCCACAGAGTGCCAGACTTAGCCCAATGGTGGGGGGGGGGGGATGCTGACAGCTGCTGGGAGCCACAGAGTGCTAGACCTAGCCCAATGGGGGGGGGGGGGGGTGCTGACAGCTGCTGGGAGCCACAGAGTGCCAGACCTAGCCCAATGGTGGGGGGGGGGGATGCTGACAGCTGCTGGGAGCCACAGAGTGCCAGACCTAGCCCAATGGTGGGGGGGGGGGGGATGCTGACAGCTGCTGGGAGCCACAGAGTGCCAGACCTAGCCCAATGGTGGGGGGGGGGGATGCTGACAGCTGCTGGGAGCCACAGAGTGCCAGACCTAGCCCAATGGTGGGGGGGATGCTGACAGCTGCTGGGAGCCATAGAGTGCCAGACCTAGCCCAATGGTGGGGGGAGGGGGGGATGCTGACAGCTGCTGGGAGCCACAGAGTGCCAGACCTAGCCCTGAGGTGGGGGGGGGGGGTGCTGACAGCTGCTGGGAGCCACAGAGTGCCAGACCTAGCCCTGAGGTGGGGGGGGGGGTGCTGACAGCTGCTGGGAGCCACAGAGTACCAGACCTAGCCCAATGGTGGGGGGAGGGGGGATGCTGACAGCTGCTGGGAGCCACAGAGTACCAGACCTAGCCCAACGGTGGTGAAATGTCCTCAGAAGGACATGATGGTTGCCCTGACACCCCAGACTGACTCAAAACATCAAACTTGTACAAAGTATGATATGAGAATATACACCACAAAAACTGAGGTAAATATGTGGGAAACATAATATCATAAACGTTTATGTTAATGGTACTACAATCAAATACATATAAGAATTCAAATATCAAGGAGGCATATTTACAGAGGATGGCAGACTGGACATAGAAAGAGAAGCCAGAATTAAAGTTAGCCGCGTCTCCTTTACATATGTTGCAGAACTAAACCAAGGATTTTTCAAGGCAAATTTTATGTTTAGTAGTTTGCTATTGTTTTCCGAAAAGTCAACTCTTGCTACCACCATTGAAACCAAAGCAAGACAAACCGTCCGCAGCTGGCACTACGAAACTTGTTTGCAATGCCTAAGCCACAGACGCCAACAGAAGCCAGAGTACAGAAGGCAAATACTGCCACCTGCTAGTAAGGCCCACTGCTTAGACACCCAAATGTCACCCTTCCAGCAAAATAGCAAATGATTAATAGCATCTTCACCCCTTCTTGATGCTATCATATTATAAAAATGCCACTAAAATAGAAAAGAATTAACTGTGAAATGCACTGTTTCCGTAAGATCACCAACAACACAATAAGTGAAAAGGTTAGAATAAGGCTGTGTCTGAATTATACTGATAAAGTATGAAATAGTCTGGCCATCTAGTGAGAATGCAGCCACACCAAACGGCAACTGATACTGTTTTTTTTTGTTTACAACAGAACATCTGGGAATAAGGCAAGGGGGAGACTCAGGTGGGTAAATGGTGTCGCTGAAACCTGCAAAAAGATGAACAAATTCATCGCCAAGCAGCACAAGACAAATAGAGAAACCATGAAAATTGGCTACAACCTGATATCAGAGACGACAACAGAAGAAAGAAGACCCAGGATACAGACAAAGATAGATTATCTGTATATAAAAAAAGAAGACACAAGATACAGACAAAGGTAGATAATCCGTACACAAGAGACAACAACAGACAGAAAAAGACAGATCATCAACCATTCTACTCTGTAAGATGGCCACAACTGACACTTCTCTCTGACCCTAGTTCTGATAAGAACAGTCATTTGACTTACCTCTGACCCTAGTTCTGATAAGAACAGTCATTTGACTTACCTCTGACTCTAGTTCTGATAAGAACAGTCATTTACTTACCTCTGACCCTAGTTCTGATAAGAACTGTCATTTGACTTACCTCTGACCTTAGTTCTGATAAGAACTGTCATTTGACTTACCTTTGGCAAATAAATGGTAACTCCAGTAGGATCAATCCACTGTTCAATCTGTGACAGTGCTGCCTGGCAAACATCAATGTCCTGGTTTCTGAGGCCGGCTCTAAGGATTCTGATTAAACTGGCGCTGCTGGGGTTGCTGGTCTCTCTGACAGTCTCCAGGAGCTGCAGACATTGCCGGTAATATTTGCTCCCAGACAAGCCAGTGATCAGCACCTGAAGAAGAAGTGCTACAACAATCAAACATCAGACAGTGCTCAACTAGCAATCAATGCACTTTAGTCAAACATCAACAAGGATAGGAGACATCAGCAGAGATTTGAGACATCAGGACACATAGGAGACATCAGGGCAGACAGGAGACACTGCTGAACTAGCAATCAATGCAACTTATTGAAACATCAGCAGAGAATGGAGCTCCAGCCTGGAAGAGATATCAGCAGGGGCAGTAGAAACTCCAGCCTGGAAGAGATATCAGGAGCAGCAGTAGAAACAACAACCAGAAGAGATATCAGGAGCAGCAGTAGAAACACCAGCAGGGAGGAGATATCAGGACAGCAGTAGAAACACCAACAGGGAGGAGATATCAGGAGCAGCAGTAGAAACACCAACAGGGAGGAGATATCAGGAGCAGCAGTAGAAACACCAGCAGGGAGGAGATATCAGGAGCAGCAGTAGAAACACCAGCAGGGAGGAGATATCAGGAGCAGCACCAGAAGGGAGGAGATATCAGGAGCATCAGTAGAAACACCAGCAGGGAGGAGATATCAGGAGCAGCACCAGAAGGGAGGAGATATCAGGAGCAGCAGTAGAAACACCAGAAGGGAGGAGATATCAGGAGCAGCAGTAGAAACACCAGCAGGGAGGAGATATCAGGAGTAGCAGTGGAAACACCAGCAGGGAGGAGATATCAGGAGTAGCAGTAGAAACACCAGCAGGGAGGAGATATCAGGAGCAGCAGGAGAAACACCAGCAGGGAGGAGATATCAGGAGCAGCAGTAGAAAGTGAGGCTACAGAAGAACAGGGCTGCCTAAGTTGGTCTTTCATACTCATTTGGTATACCTGACTCTTGCCGAGCAAAACCCTACTTCTGGTTGTCACTGAACAAATGTTGCATCAATATTTTAAATTTTGGCAATGTGTTCAACATTATCTTTAAAAAGTGATAGGTAGTGCACTAAAAATAAGTGTGATGCAGTTGTTGAAACAAATGTACCATTTGAGGTGACCGTTCGAGTGCACTTTTGTTCCAGTTTCACAGGCCAGTTTAAGAATAGAAGAAACTAACAGTGCATAATCGACCATCTAATGCTGGGGAAAAAAACAAACTCAACAATTTGGGCCTAAAGCTCCAATAAAAAAACCAGAACAATTTTGGTTTACAATCTCAGAAGAAAAAAGTGCAGATGAAAACTGCTTTTTATTAGTATAAAAATATAAACTGGAAGCCGCCACAACAAGTGACACTGAGAATGCATGTATCACAAATATAATCAACATAACAACTGGTATCACAAATATAATCAACATAACAACTGGTATCACAAATGTAATCAACATAACAACTGGTATCACAAATGTAATCAACATAACAACTGGTATCACAAATATAATCAACATAACAACTGGTATCACAAATATAATCAACATAACAACTGGTATCACAAATATAATCAACATAACAACTGGTATCACAAATATAATCAACATAACAACTGGTATCACAAATATAATCAACATAACAACTGGTATCACAAATATAATCAACATAACAACTGGTATCTGACTACTTCCACTGCTAATCTAATACCTTATTCTAGAACAGAGGTGACAAAAACAGAAAGTGTCGACTTCATTACACACGGTTTGAGGGTTTGCATACACACACAGCAAACATTACTGTAATAACTCACATGACTGTCACAATAACTCTCTCAAGGGCTATCCTCCAAATAACAGTCCCAAATTATCGAGGCCAAAAATATACCCTAACAGGGTCTCAGTCACATGTCAATTGCATACTTCCGGGGACTATACCGCCACCGCCGATTTGCGGACTTCCGGGGACTATACCGCCGAGAGTATTCCCCACGCTGCCAGAGCAGCGTGGATTGGGGCTAAACTAGATGGCTGGGACTCACAAACAAATAAAATGAAGGAAGCTGCAGGAGATGCGGTAGCTGCTGCTCATGAGTTCCAGCCATCTAGTTTAGCCCTAATCCGCGCTGCTTACGCGGTGTGGGATATACTCTCGGCGGTGACGGAAGTACACAATTTAAGTAGCTGGAAGTCCGCAATTGACACGTGACTGAGGCCCAGTGAAAATTTTCAGCCTCGATAATTTGGGACCGTTGTTCGGAGGATAGCCCCAAGTATACTATATCTTTAAAGACAATGTCTGTGAGAGTTTGTGTCCATGTAAACATGAAAAAAAAAAAAAAAACCCCACATATACAATAAGAGCCAGACAAACCTCAATGGATGCAGCATCTAAAACACTGCTCCTGGACAACAGATACTGGTAGTACTTGTGGATCTCCTCATCGAAACCTGCACAGCTTTCTCCAAGAAGGCCAATGTAGAATGTCACCACCACTAAACTTGGAGTCTTTCCCTGCCTCTCTATATAAGACATGAGGTTTTGACCCAGGGAAATATTTTTATCCACATACAAGGTATGCATACATATAACTTCCCATGATTCTTGGCCTGTTAAAGACAGACTATCAGCTAGTTGCAGCCAATCATCATCTGTCCAAGGTGTATTCCCTTTATTGCAGATCATCTGACGGAACAGCTGCTGCTTCTCCTGCCTGTCTCTTCTCATTGGTTTTGAGACAAAATTTGGAGCTGTCTCTGCAGACTCTTCTGTTGCAGGCTGACTGTCCGACACAAAGCTTCTGTGAAATGCTGCCTGTGACCATACCACTTTGTGTTGTGTACGCAGCCACAAACTACAATGAGTCATTACATCATGAGTGCTCTTTGCAGGCTCTGATCTGCAGACTTGACTCAGAACTGGCCAGTGACACAAGGTATTCACCTTGTTGAGCTTGGTATCACAACATTTCAAACTGTTTGAAAGTAAACGCACTGGCAACTTATTAAATGCAATCATTTTTTTTTTCTAGAATGAGATGTCCTTCAGTAATTGATATATTTTGCAAGCAATAAAGTACAGAAAAAAAAATTGTCTCCTCCTTCCTTCAAAACAAGAAACACAGGCTAAAATTGTAATCTTCCCGTAGGAGAAACACGGGATTAAATTGCAGTGTTGAAGTACGAGAAATACAGATTATTTATAACAATAACTTTTAACAAGACAATTTATAATAACGTTGCCGTTGATGCTGCCTTGGTTGTCAGATTCGACTCATTAAAAAAAAAAAAAAGTTAGGGGAGGGGTTATTTACGGATCATTTCAAGCTTGTTGAATCAGCATCGGAGCACGTGCTTCCATTTTTACTCACAAATATAAGATTTTAAATCTCAATCAACACATCGACTGACGTGAAGTGTCAACTGACAACTTGTAGAAACTTTCAAACACAAGCAAGGGTATCTGGCACACCACAAATATGGAGGCGTCCATCTTGGATTAGCTACACAACTTCTCAAATATCACCGCAAGAAATCTCCGTGGCAGAGCCAAGATTGTGGACCAAGCAAACAAATATTTAATTTTGATAATAATGAAAATATCGTGAAGAAAAGTTATAAGTGTAAACCTAAAGTGAACAACTGATTTAATCAATATAAAAAATACATCGTAACGGTTTTTGTCGGTGAGACGGGGCAGGCTACTCTAATGTCGGCCGCTCATTGTCAAGCCAAACAATCAACATAAATTATTTGTTGCAGGACCAGTCACTTCTCTCGGGTCTAGTCCTACACTCAGAGCTACGATAATTGTTGCCTTTACACTGAAGTTATTGCAGCTACACATCTGACAGACTGTCACCGTGGGAAGACAGAAACAAACAATCCAGCAGTCCACAGTTTCATGTTTGTTTTGTTTTGTTGACAGTCCAAGTTTAATCGATACACCGTTTTCAACCACTCGATATTTATCACCCGCTGTTTAAAGGGGGAAAAGCAGACTGGCACACGATAAACACGGCGGAACAGAAAACTAATTCACAGCCAGCGTCACTAATGTTTGCTGCACGTCTGACCAGCTGCAAGAAGAGAACAACTGCTCAAGAGATGGGCCCATGAAAAGATGGAGGGGCCGAGAGTTTGCGACCGTGAGTCACCATGTCTCATTACGTGAAAGCCACCAAGAAGACGTTCAGTAAAAACGCACAAGACTGCCTGGTGCGACCACTGATCAAGCAGAGAGAAACGGGCGAGCTCTGTGATATAGTTCTCAAGCTGAATGGACGTTGCTATAGCGCCCACCGAGCCATACTGGCTTTGTGGAGTCCATATTTCCATTCCATGTTCACCTGTGATATGAAGGAGAAGAATGTTAGCGAGCTCGACCTGTCGGCATCCCTCATCTTGGAACAGGTAAGCTCTTCATGTAGCCTGGCATCAACCAACAGCATCTCACCTGATGCCTATTATGTTCTTAGTTTTAGGACCTATTATCCTAGCACTCCAAACAAACTGACAGATGCTCTGTCTCTTTCTGATTATGAACATGCTGAATTCATCCTTTCATACATCTCTCCTCGCTCCAGTCCAAATTCAAGTATTATAAAATATTTTGCCTTTGTGCAACTATGTTTTAAATTATTAGTTCCAATTTTACCTCCAAACTTTCTCTGTTGTCTGTCAGGGATGTCTTAACTACCAGTGTTTATAAAGTCAAGAGTTGCTTTCATTGCCCCTCAGACCATGAGACTTGAAATCCCATGTCAGTCAACAGTTGCTTTCATTGCCCCTCAGACCATGAGACTTAAAATCCCATGTCAGTCAACAGTTGCTTTCATTGCCCCTCAGACCATGACACTTCAAATCCCATGTCAGTCAACAGTTGCTTTCATTGCCCCTCAGACCATGAGACTTAAAATCCCATGTCAGTCAACAGTTGCTTTCATTGCCCCTCAGACCATGACACTTCAAATCCCATGTCAGTCAACAGATGCACACACCCATTGCTACTTGCTCAGACAACATACATTTATAGTTATATCTGGGGATGTTATTAGATTTAATAGTTTGGCTATCTTCCGAATAACGGTCCCAAATTATCAAAGCAGAAAATATACTCTAACAGGACCTCAGTCACGTGTCAATTGCGTATTTCCGGGGACTATACTTCCACCACCGCCGAGAGTATCTCCCACGCCGTTCATGCGGCGTGGATTGGGGCTAAACTAGATGGCTAGGACTCACGAGCAAAAAAAAATGAAGGCAGCTGCAGGAAATGCAATCGCTGCTGCTCGTGAGTTTTAGCCATATAGTTTAGCCTCAATCCAAGCCGCGTGAGCGGCTTGTGGGATACTCTCAGTGGTGGTGGAAGTGCGCAATGTAAGTCGCCGGAAGTGCGCAATTAACACGTGACTGAGGCTCTGTTAGGGTGTATTTTCCACCTCAGTAATTTGGGATTAATATTTAGAAGATAGCCAATAGTTTTGGCACTGTTCCAAATGCCGGTCCCAAATTTTTCACTGTGAAAAACATCCCTGTGAGAGCCTCAAAAGATTATATAGTAAAAACATTTAAGCCATCATCATCATTTTCCACTTCTGCTGTTTGTTGCTCGATGGATAGCAATGTTTAGACGTTAAGCTAAGCGCAGTGGGGAGAAATAGTGTTTGATCCATTGTTAAAGCATTTTTGGGAGGAGTACTTGTCGATTCATTAAAGCGTTGTGGGGAGGAATTATTTTTGATCCATTGTTCACATTACTCGTGACTCTCCTTGTGGGTTCCAGGGCCACATGTTTAAGGGGGAAAAAAGAATAGACCCACTGCCACCTAAAAAGCATATTGTAAAAGGCGACTAATTAGGACTGCGGAATTCGGATGTGTTGGAGCAGAAGGCACAGATATACACCTAGCTGTAAACTACAGCACACCGTGCCAACTGCCCTTTCAAGGGCGAACGAAAACAAAGAAGATTACCTACCTGTGACATGATCATTGAGCTTCTCACCCATTGTTACTCATCTGTTGTCTCTCACCCATCTGTTGTCTCTCACCCATTGTTACTCATCTGTTGTCACTCATCTAGTGCCTCTCACTCATCTGTTGTCTCTCACCCATTGTTACTCATCTGTTGTCTCTCACCCATTGTTACTCATCTGTTGTCTCTCACCCATTGTTACTCATCTGTTGTCTCTCACCCATTGTTACTCATCTGTTGTCTCTCACCCATTGTTACTCATCTGTTATCTCTCACCCATTGTTACTCATCTGTTGTCTCTCACCCATTGTTACTCATCTGTTGTCTCTCACCCATTGTTACTCATCTGTTGTCTCTCACCCATTGTTACTCATCTGTTGTCTCTCACCCATTGTTACTCATCTGTTGTCTCTCACCCATTGTTACTCATCTGTTGTCACTCATCTAGTGCCTCTCACTCATCTGTTGTCTCTCACCCATTGTTACTCATCTGTTGTCACTCACCAGTTGCCTCTCATCTGTTGTCACTCATCCATTGCCTCTCACTCATCTGTTGTTACTCCTCCAATGTCTCTCACTCATCCAGTACCTCTCACTCATTGTCAGTCATCCATTGTCACTCATCAATTGCCTCTCACCCATTCACTCATCTATTACCTCTCATCTGTTGTCACTCATCCATTCCCTCTCACTCATCTGTTGTCACTCATCCAGTGTCTCTCACTCATCCAGTGCCTCTAACTTATTGTCACTCACCCATTGCCTCTCATCCATTGCCTCTCACTCATCTGTTGTCACTCATCCAGTGTCTCTCACTCATCCAGTGCCTCCCACTCATTGTCACTCACCCATTGCCTCTCATCTGTTGTCACTCATCCATTGCCTCTCGATCATCTGTTGTCACTCATTAAGTGTCTCTCACTCATCCAGTTCCTCTCACTCATTCATTGCCTCTCACCCATTGTCACTCATCCAGTGCCTCTTGTATGTTGTCACTCATCCATTGCATGCACTCCAGCATAACTCAGACACCATCTCTATATGTCAGTGACCCATGCCATTTGATGCATACGTTAGATACGGTAGATAGAACTAGACAAACATATTGTGTTTGCTCATTACTTGATTTGTTCCCCCAACAGGATGCAGTGTTTGGCACTATCTTGGACTACATGTACACTGGCTCACTGCCGCTGACAGCTGATTCTGTGACAGATGTGGTGAAGATTTCTGACTTCCTTCTCCTGGACGATGTCAGAGACTACTGTCAGCAATTTCTGTTGAGCCTTGGCAACCTTGACCTTTCCAACTGTCTTCGTGTCCGTTTTCTGGCAGAAGATCATAATTTACCAGAAGTGGCAGCTGCAGCTAAAAGCATCATTGAATCTCGTTTCCATGACTACTTGATACAACATGATGATATTCTAGAGCTGCCCTGGGATTGGTTGAAGAAACTTGTGGAGGATCCTTGTGTTGTCCAGCATACAGGTTACCAGGAGCTCCGTAGGCTGGCAAGGAGATGGATCGATCACGACAAGTGTTTCAGAACTGCTTACCATCAGCATCTGATGACAGTCATCAATGCTTGCGTTTCTGATTATGCAAATGAGGCTTCCTATTTAGGCAGAGAACTGAGGAGTTCCTTGGAGGGCAAGGATTTGAGAAATTCTTTGGAGGGCAGCAGCTGGAGAAGTTCCGACCACACCACATCGGTAACTACTGGTGCCGCAGACACAGCATCAAGCACAGGGGAACTCCTGGCAGGTGTGAAAGCTCAGGCAGGCTTGCATGAGACATCACAGATATTATTCACTGTCGTTTGCAACCAAGGATTAAAATTTCTCAAACTGTTTCTCTACAGTCTGGACGAGCAGGTGTGGCTTCACTTCCCAGTGTCGGGAGAGCGTCTGCTCAAATATGTGCCCATGAGGCAGACGGTGTGCAACATGCTGGCTCATGAAGGCAAGCTGTATATGTACTTGTGTTCTTCCTTCCCGTACCCAACAGACATGCTGAAAATTAATATACTGACCATCGACCTGCTGACGGGACAGCCAGCACTGTTCTCCTTTCGGACCATGGACTACTACAAACCCACCTACAGAACCACTCTGACCAACTTCCGCACTGCCCCACCAGCCATGGTCATGTGCAGTGGTCAGCTGTTTGTGGTGGGCAATAAGGAAGGGGCCGGTCACTTGTTTGCCTGCAACCTGGCCAACAACCAGTACGCCTGCTATCAGATACCCGGCTCTCGCTTCATCAGTTTAGCCAGATGTGTGGTTAGAAATGACCGACAGATTTTTATTTGGTACAGACACAGGACCGGCCCGTCAGAGGAATTCTCTATCCGAAAGTCTGTTGGCTTTGTCTTGTTTGATGCCAAAATGAAAATCTTCAGCTCCTGGGAACTGACGCCTCCTGATATCTGCTACGATGATTTTGCCAAGTGTTATGCCATGTGTGTACGCGACGACACAGTGCATATTTATCAGCCTGGTGAGCCAGCCATCGTTCTAGATGAAATCAGAGCGAAGTGGGTCACATCTCTGCGTCGCATTCCAACCCCAGGCTCAGGCTACAGCAGAGATGTCCAAGCCTACGGCTATCAGATAGCCATTCCCGCCCAGGAAGGTGTCCTGGTGCTCAACAACTGGCAGCCTTACACCACCTCATTACACCAAGTCTCAGAAAAGTTCCCCTGCGCCATGGCTCACATTCCACCACCCATTGACAATATTTCTGTGGCTGCTCTAGCAGAACTACCTCGGCGTGCGCTGGGCACACTTCAGCGCTGTACCAGCTATGATGAAGCTTATGCCAGTGCTCTCCATGTTGCTATGCAGTATTCTGATGGTGATACTGATGACAGTGCCGGATCAGTTCTGGAGGAAGCTAGTTCTGACAACGATGAGTATGAATATGATGAAGATATTTATGAATATGATTATGAAATAGAGGGTTACGAAGTCTAACATCAAAAGATTGCTGACCTAATAATGGCTGATGTATAAGTAGCACATACTGAATGAAGGCTACCGGGTATCTCTCAATGAGACAGGCAGACAGCGAAACTATGGTCATCTGTGGTGACCTGATGTGTCAAGGCAGTGATGTCTCAGGTGCAGATAGGTGACACAGCAGACATATTTGAGAGAGATGACAACAGTGTCTCAGGTGCAGATATGAGGCAGCAGACAGTGTCTGGGTGGAGAGAGGTGACAGAGGGAAGTGACAGGATGTTGTTTGTGACAGTTATAGCAATATAGCAGATGGATAGGAGGTTGTCTGTGAGTTTATAGCACAGACAGGAAGTGTCTTGTGAATTTTATCAGTAAAGCACAGACAGAAGCTTGTCTGTGAGGTCTAGCAGACAGACATGAGCTATAATATATGTAAGTAATAGACAGACAGGAGCTTGTCTGTGATTTATAGCAGTGTAGCACAGACAGACAGGAGATTTGGATGTGAGTTATAGCATTAACGCACAATCACACAATAGATTATCGGTAAGTTATAGCAGTGTAGCACAGACTGACAGGAGCTTGTCTATAAGTTACGACAGTATAGCACAGACACACAGGATGTTGTCTGTGAATTATAGCAGATAGCACAGACACACATAAGATTGTCTGTGAGTTATAGCAGACAGACAGGAGCTTGTCTGTGATTTATAGCAGTATAGTACAGACAGACAGGAGCCTGTGTATGAGTTATAGCAGTATAGCACTAAAAATCATGAGATAGTCTGTGAGTTATAGCAGTTAGCACAGATAGACAGGAGTGTGTCTATGAGTTTAACAGTATAGCACAGACATACCGGAGGTTGTATGTGAGTCATAGCCGTATAGTACACATACACATAAGATTGTGAGTTATAGCAGTTGTCTTGGACAGTTACAGTAACATAAGTAGGACTAATGGAAAATGGTTGTCTTGGACAGTTACAGTAACATAAGTAGGACTAATGGAAGATGATTGTCTTGGACAGTTACAGTAACATAAGTATTACTGCTAGAAGGAGATTATCTAGGACAGTTACAGAAACATAAGTAGGACTAATGGAAGGAGATTGTCTAGGACTTTTACAGTAACATAAGTATTACTGCTAGAAGGAGATTATCTGTGACAGTTACAGTAACATAAGTATTATTGCTAGAAGGAGATTGTCTAAGATAGTTACAGTAACATAAGTATTACTGCTAGAAGGAGATTGTCTATGACAGTTACAGTAACATAAGTATTACTGCTAGAAGGAGATTGTCTTGGACAGTTACAGGAACATAAATAGGACTAATGGAAGGAGATTGTCTAAGATAGTTACAGTAACATAAGTATTACTGCTAGAAGGAGATTGTCTAGGACAGTTACAGGAACATAAATAGGACTAATGGAAGGAGATTGTCTAGGACAGTTACAGTAACATAAGTATTACTGCTAGAAGGAGATTGTCTAGGAAAGTTACAGGAACATAAGTAGGACTAATGGAAGGAGATTGTCTAGGATAGTGACATACAGTCACGTCTGAACAAAGCTAGAGCTGCTTTTGGAAGGATGAGGCAAATCTGAAAATCCAACAATTACTGCAGAAGAACGAAACTCCGACTCTACAAGAGCATCATTTTACCAGTTCTTCTTTATGGAGCGGAATGCTGGAGAATGACCAAAAAGAATGCACACAAGCTGTCCACCTTCCACCACACATGTCTACGTAGAATTATCAAAATTTTCTGGCCAGATACAATCTCAAACACTAAAATACTTCAAGCCACAAACCAAGAAACTTTAGACAGTATGATTACCGAGAGAAGATGGAAATGGCTTGGCCACGTTATGAGAATGACTTCTGATATACCTGCCAATACAGCTCTCACATAGACACCAGAGGGAAAGAGAAAACAGGGGCGCCCAAAAACAACATGGAGACGAACGATGGAAAGTAACCTGAGTGCGGCATCTTTGACATGGAAAACTGCACTGAAGATTGAACAGGACAGGAAAGCATGGAAAGTCCTCTGTGAAGCCTCATATGCCACTAGGCATAACGAGAACTGATGATGATGATGAAGTAGGACTAATAGAAGGAGATTGTCTAGGACAGTTACAGTAACATAAGTAGGACTAATGGAAGGAGATTGTCTAAGGACAGTTACAGGAACATAAGTAGGACTAATGGAAGGAGATTGTCTAGGACAGTTACAGTAACATAAGTAGGACTAATGGAAGGAGATTGTCTAGGACAGTTACAGTAACATAAGTAGGACTAATGGAAGAAGATTGTCTTGGATAGGACAGTTACAGTAACATAAGTAGGACGGATGGAAAAAGTCTAGGACAGTTACAGTAACATAAGTAGGACTGATGGAAGGAGATTGTCTAGGACAGTTATAGTAACATAAGTAGGACTAATGGAAGGAGATTGTCTTGGATAGAACAGTTACAGTAACATAAGTAGGACTGATGGAAAAAGTCTAGGACAGTTACAGTAACATAAGTAGGACTGATGGAAAAAGTCTAGGACAGTTACAGTAACATAATTAGGACTGATGGAAAAAGTCTAGGACAGTTACAGTAACATAAGTAGGACTGATGGAAAAAGTCTAGGACAGTTAACAGTAACATAAGTAGCAATGACTGGAGGAGTCTAGGACACTTACAGTAACATAAGTAGGACTAATGGAAGGAAATTGTCTAGGACACATAAGCTACAGAAACATTGAAGTATATGATGATGTTGGAGACTTCCCAGTTTGTCAAGCTATAGAAAGAGAAGCCTTTGTTGCAGTTCACCTTCAACTTGTATCTAATCATATTCAGACAGTCTTGTATTTCCAAATATATAGATATGTATACATTACAGATTTTGATATGCCAGAAATATAACATTGCTGTTTAATTTTTCTACAATATTGATTTTGTATATTTTAAAAACTTAATGTCATGCTTTCTATTTGTATGTTTATATGGTTATGTGACACATTTGGTGTGTATATGACACAGGAAGTGTATCTGTGGCACACTGAATGTGAAAATGTATGTGTTTGTCATATTAAAAACTGTGTGTATATTTGTGACACATTGTGTATCTTCATTGCACATTGTGTTTGTTTGTAACATACTGGGTATGTACGTGTTCCATGCTCATCATTTGCCAGATTTTTTGTTTCTAAGGAAACAACATGTCCACTTGGTAGGATGTCCTCTTTGTGGAACTTTGAGCAGGTGATGCACTTTTCATTGTCTTCACATATCACTTCCGAATGGGTCTCTGCTGCTGATATTTTGCCTTCTTAATTGTCTTTTAAACTTACATACACATCTTGTCTTGAATCTAAGAACTGTGTTTGAAAACCAGATTCATGAAGATCATAATGACACATAATGCAATATTTAATATAGTTAGTCAGGTGTTCAGGGACTGATTCCAACATTTTCCAAGTTATAAATGCCAATTGTTTGTTAGCAAAAAAAGTGTAATGATCTCGAGGGAATGTATGAAATTTCATTTGTGTCAGGAAGTTGCTTATCCATAAACCCATCTCATCCTTTGGGGGGGGGGGGGGGGGGGGGGGGGAATACCATTGTACCTCTTGTACTGCTTTGATTTGCCTTGTTCCTTCATTCTTTCTTTTTTTCAATGGCTAACTTTCTCTTTGAGCCATTTTTAATCTTTTTTCTTATTTAAGTCTCTGCCTCTTCTTGTGTAACTCTGCACATTCACTGCTATTTTTTTTTCCCCAACTGCAGTTCTTTTTCTTGTTCAAGCTGTTTCTTTTTTAAATTCTCTTTTTTGTTCAAGTTCTTTTTTGTTTTTTCTGCTTTTCCTTTAACTGAAGTTTGTGTTCTCTTATCAAACATCTTTCTTCTCTCTGTTTATCTTATCTTGTCCTAAAATCTTCATCTTCCAAGGTTTACTCTTTAACTAGCTTGATAACCTCCGTGGGTCAGACATTCTTCACTATAATACAATCAATTGAAAAATAAAATATACACACTCTTTATACAGTATCAATAAACGCTCATCAATTCCTGAGTGGAGTAATTATGGAGAGTTAATGATGAATTATAATTGTAAAACAGGATGAGTGCTATTACAGTGTCCATTATGAATAACTAATACTGAAAGTTTATTAAAATTTATTTTCAATGAACCAGTATTATCAGATGAAATGAATAATAAAACGACTACAATAAATATTATTTTGTCATGTTTCTCTTACTGTAATAATTGACTGGTCATTCCCTAATGTTAACAGAGTAGATGGGACGGAGTTTCTCTCCAATCAACTCCCGCAACTCCTCCACATAACAGTCGGCACCAGTTGACAGTCGGCACCAGTTGATGACAGTTTCACGTTTAATTGTCACAACACAAGAGCTGGTCTAACAAACAGCCTAGTGAAACCTACATCATTACACTTATTTCAAACATACAGGTTCCACTTTTCTTAACTTTGGATCACATGGCCAAACCCTCAACGTCCATTGTTGACATGTAAATGACAACAATCAATACTCAGTAGAAACACATCAGTAAAGCCTTTCTCTCAGTCTTCATACAGCATAGCTTTCAATGCAGATGATCAGCTTTCACATTCTCCAGCTCTGGGGACAGCATAGCTTTCAATGCAGATGATCAGCTTTCACATTCTCCAGCTCTGGGGACAGCATAGCTTTCAATGCAGATGATCAGCTTTCACATTCTCCAGCTCTGGGGACAGCATAGCTTTCAATGCAGATGATCAGCTTTCACATTCTCCAGCTCTGGGGACAGCATAGCTTTCAATGCAGATGATCAGCTTTCACATTCTCCAGCTCTGGGGACAGCATAGCTTTCAATGCAGATGATCAGCTTTCACATTCTCCAGCTCTGGGGCCCTGATGCAGAATGAATTCCTATTCAGCTTTTTCGCTGGTTCTCCCACAAAGTTCACCCATTTATGAGGTTTCACTCTCTCATGCTGACTTCATGTCTGGCAACCTAGGGCTTCTCTGGTTCTAACAACTAGTAAAATCCCTTACTTTAATCCTCTATTTAATATCCCTACAAGTCTCTCCTAAACTCATAAACAAATCCATTCAGCCATCTATAACCTTGCTTTTATCAATCACTCCTTTGCTCACAGCTGTTATCTGTCAATGTACCATGAGTTTCATGGCTTGGACTACAGCTATAACATCTTTTCTCTTCTATTATCCATGACAACTCTTGGCAGTATGTTAACAATAAACCATATACTGGCTCTGTGACATAGTTATCCAGCTCTGAAGTCTGTCTCCTTAATGAGACAGAACAACACTCCAAAGCATTCCTCAAACATCTTGGAAGTCCAAAATTGTCTTTAAAATAAGACATGGGCCATAAAGTCCTGTATTAAACCACATTATCAAGCGTATGTGTGTTCTAAAGGTGTTCTTTGTCTCTATGTGTCAGCTCAAATATGATTATAACACCTTTCATCAACATCTTACCGATATCTTGTGCACATACTGATTAATAACGAGATGATAATGTCACCATATGAAGAAACAAATACGCCAGACATTGTCTACACATATGTACAGACACACTCAACACAGCATCCACATTTATCTATGCACATATACTGATTACAGACACACTCAACACAGCATCCACATTTATCTATGCACATATACTGATTACAGACACACTCAACACAGCATCCACATTTATCTATGCACATATACTGATTACAGACAATATGCACTATCTATGGATGCCTGTCCATATATACACACACACACACATATACATCCATGGACAAACAGTTCCCACACTGGTGAATGCTGATCCATGGACGAATCATTGGCACACAGAGCCATGGGCAGACATCATTTACAAGATGGCAGCTGTCTGGGAAGTAATCTGGACACGGCCACTGTGAAATCTTTTAAGGAGCTTTTTCCAAGGAATGGATGCAGGAAAGGCATCTGCAAAAATAAACAGTATTGTCAAACTGATCTTTCAGCAGACGGCTAGTTTCTGGCAATACAGCATGTGTCAACTGTCAACCACAAGTGCATGTATCATGTCTAGCACTCTTTCTAATTGAGTATGCTCAATACATAAGTGTGTTTTCTAGACATGATACATAAGTTTGTTTTCTAGACATGATACATAAGTGTGTTTTCTAGACATGATACATAAGTTTGTTTTCTAGACATGATACATAAGTTTGTTTTCTAGACATGATACATAAGTTTGTTTTCTAGACATGATACATAAGTTTGTTTTCTAGACATGATACATAAGTTTGTTTTCTAGACATGATACATAAGTTTGTTTTCTAGACATGATACATAAGTGTGTTTTCTAGACATAATACATAAGTTTGTTTTCTAGACATGATACATAAGTTTGTTTTCTAGACATGATACATAAGTTTGTTTTCTAGACATGATACATAAGTGTGTTTTCTAGACATGATACATAAGTTTGTTTTCTAGACATGATACATAAGTTTGTTTTCTAGACATGATACATAAGTTTGTTTTCTAGACATGATACATAAGTTTGTTTTCTAGACATGATACATAAGTTTGTTTTCTAGACATGATACATAAGTTTGTTTTCTAGACATGATACATAAGTTTGTTTTCTAGACATGATACATAAGTTTGTTTTCTAGGCATGATACATATGTGTCTTTTCTTAACACGATACATAAGTTTGTTTTCTAGATATTATACATAAGTGTGTTTTCTTAACACAATATATAAGTGTTTTCTTGACAAAGGCCTCTGCTATGTTTGCAAATCTCACAAAGAGAGTCTGGTCAAAAAAAAAGCTAACTGATAATACAAAAATGAAGGTTTATGAGTCTTGTGTCCTGAGCACATTACTGTACGGTTGCGAATCCTGGACTCTCTATGCTCCACAGGAAAAAAGACTGAATACCTTCCATATGCGCTGTCTGAGACGCATCCTTGGTATATTATGGCGAGACCTTGTCTCCAACGAATGTGTGCTCACAAGAGCAAAAATACCATCAATGTATTGTATACTGAAGCAAAGACGTCTAGGCTGGCTGGGACATGTCTCCCTTATGGAGGATGGTTGTATTCCAAAAGATCTCCTATATGGTGAATTGGTAACTGGGAATAGACCTACAGGAAGGCCAAAGCTGTGCTATAAAGATGTATGCAAACGTGACCTAATAGATACCAACATAGGCACAGAGACATGGGAAAAATCAGCTGCAGATCGACTACTATGGAGACAGAAAGTGAAAGATGGACTGTCACATTTTGAAAGAAACCGAACACAACGAGCTGTGGAGAGGAAGGAGGCACCGGAGAGTAAAACTGCCTCACAACGAGGGAGTATCTGCTTTTGTGTGTATTCTGTGTAGACACGATACATAAGTTTGTTTTCTAGACACGATACATAAGTTTGTTTTCTAGACATGATACATAAGTGTGTATTCTAGACATGATACATGAGTGTGTATTCTAGACATGATACATAAGTGTGTTTTCTAGACACGATATATAAGTGTGTTTTCTAGACACGATATATAAGTGTGTTTTCTAGACACGATATATAAGTGTGTTTTCTTAACACAATACATAAGTGTTTCTAGTACATAAGGCTCAGGTATGTCTAGTATAAAAGGTCTAGGTATGTCTAGTATAGAAGTCTTAGATATGTCTAGTATAGAAGTCTTAGATATGTCTAGTATAGAAGTCTTAGATATGTCTAGTATAGAAGTCTTAGATATGTCTAGAATAGAAGGCCTAGGTATGTCTAGTATAGAAGGCTTAGATATGTCTAGAATAGAAAGCCTGGGTATGTCTAGTATAGAAGTCTTAGATATGTCTAGAATAGAAGGCCTGAGTATGTCTAGTATAGAAGTCTTAGATATGTCTAGAATAGAAGGCCTAGGTATGTCTAGTAAGAAGTCTTAGTTATGTCTAGAATAGAAGGCCTAGGTATGTCTAGTATAGAAGGTTTGCGCGAGTCTAGAACAGAAAACATGAATAAGGATTATTAATGCCCACGTACCTTAAGTAAAGACTGAACAAGTTCTGGCAAGCTCTTGCTATCTGTGTCTTGTCTGTCTTCAGTGAACATTGTTCCATGCAGGCAAATGAGGAGGAGCACTCCAAGAAGTGATGAAATGACACCCTCATTGTGGCTGATGTTGAATAATGGGAACTCTGTGGACAGGGTGTCAACAGGCGGGTTGAGTTGATGTGTGTGCCATAAGACGTGGCTTGAGGGTGATATTTATAAATATCTAAACATTGCACTAGGAACATGTCATCAACATGAAATTATCAACACTCAAACAAGAGCCTCTAGTCAGGTGGAAACACAGACAGTTTATACTGAGATCTGTAACAGACCCTTATCAGGCTAGTGATGGCTCATGGTGCTAAACCATCTTCTGACAGAGCTATTGCCACTGAACATTTGGTGTGGTCCACATGACACTGGATGTGTGGTGTGGTCCACAGGGTACTGGATGTGTGGTGTGGTCCACAGGGTACTGGATGTGTGGTGTGGTCCACAGGGTACTGGATGTGTGGTGTGGTCCACAGGGTACTGGATGTGTGGTGTGGTCCACAGGGTACTGGATGTGTGGTGTGGTCCACAGGGTACTGGATGTGTGGTGTGGTCCACAGGGTACTGGATGTGTGGTGTGGTCCACAGGGTACTGGATGTGTGGTGTGGTCCACATAACACTGGATGTGTGGTGTGGTCCACAGGGTACTGGATGTGTGGTGTGGTCCACAGGGTACTGGATGTGTGATGTGGTCCACATGACACTGGATGTGTGGTGTGGTGTGGTGTGGTCCACATAACACTGGGTGTGTGGTGTGGTCCACATGACACTGGATGTGTGGTGTGATCCACATGAGACTTGATGTGTGATGTGGTCCACATGAGACTGGATGTGTGGTGTGGTCCACATGAGATTAAATGTGTTAAACATCACCAACATATGATGTTCACTATTTACACATCACAGACATATGATGTTCACTAATTATCCATCACAGACATATGATGTTAACTAATTACACATCATAGACATATAGACATATGATGTTCACTAATTACACATCATAGACATATAAAGGTAAAGGGAAAGTCGGGAGATGTGAACCAGCGTCATTGCACACGGCTATAAACCATAAGTGCTCTGCCACCATTACGGACAGCTGATAAGAAACTGTCCGCCTGTGTCGCCGTCTGCACGTAACTCTGTGGCTACAGCGACGTTCCTCCATTTACCCCAGAGTGTCACTCTGTTACCCATTTCCTAGAGGCTGGGTGAACCTCGGGAGCCGCCCGGTTTCGAACACTGACCATGGGCTGCAGGAAGTCGCAGCTGGATTGGAAAGCGAGCCTCTTATCGACTGTGGTAACGCAACCCCCTACTGAATGCTGAACCTTAACATTAGTAAAATCCCTTTCCCTCAATTGTTTCCACATGTCTGTGAGAACATCAATCATTCCGAATCAACAAATCCAGAAGGTATCTCTGCAATCAAACCACAATTATGTGTCACCACTTGAATTGCTCTTCACATAGATACACACAAAATGTGACATCTCAACTAACAATCTATGTATAACAATTTGACTAGTTTCTAAATTACAATACTGCTGAATTACATCACAAATGTCACACATTTACACAAGACAAAGTAGTAACTGTTCAAGAAGAAAAAGATTTAAAAGATGAACTTGATATACATTTTAAACAAGATTACTGAGTTGCTTTTATTCTCTTCCTTCCTCTAGCAGCTTTTTTGTCTTTCTTCTTCAGTCCATCCATGTTTGCTTTCAACAGATTACCATATGCCATTTGAAACTTTGTTACATCTTTGTGGTTTATCACAGTTGTTATTTTTTTGTTTCCAAGTGTGGCACGCACCAGACACTTATATTCAATGGGTTCTACAATATTTCCAGTTCTTGGTTTAGTCTTGTTTCGTCCATCATATCTTTTCATTGTCATGACAACCGAGCCGGTAGTCTTCCCTTTTACTGAAAAATTTTGTAAGCTCTGTAAGAAACGTGTCATTTTGTTTTTATCAAGACGTCCGTTGATTTATCCCCAGTTAACGACCGACAAGACGATGAAATACAGAATTACACGACTCACGCCACCACTTTCTATAGCGTAATCATAGACATATGTTGTTCACTAATTACACATTACAGACATGATGCTCACTAATTACACATCACTGACAAATGATGTACACTATTTACACATCACAGACATATGATGTTCACTGTTAACACATCACAGACATGATAACTTATTACACATCACTAACAAATGATGTTCACTATTTACACATTACAGACATATGATGTTTACTAATTACACATCACAGACATATGATGTTAACTAATTACACAACACAGACATATGATGTTAACTAATTACACATCACAGACATATGATGTTCACTGTTAACACATCACAGACATGATAACTTATTACACATCACTAACAAATGATGTTCACTATTTACACATCACAGACATATGATGTTAACTAATTACACATCATAGACACATAGACATATGATATTCACTAATTACACATCATAGACATATGTTGTTCACTAATTACACATTACAGACATGATGTTCACTAATTACACAACACTGACAAATGATGTTCACTATTTACACATCACAGACATATGATGTTCACTAATTACATATAAACATATGATGTTCACTAATTACACATCACAGACATATAATGTTAACTAATTACATATAGAAATATGATGTTAACTAATTACATATAGACAAATGATGCTCACTAATTACACAACACAGACTTATGACATTAACTAATTACACATCATAGACATATGTTGTTCACTAATTACACATCACTGGCTAAACATTCCTAATATACAGTGTTCATTGACCACACATCCCTAATGATGTTTACTGAAAACATGGATCTGTGAAGCGCGGATCAAGGTCAGAGTGGGCATATACAGTGCAAAGAATGGGGAAAACAATACAAGAGGACAGCGCCATTTATTAGGCAACCCTGTCAAGCATGACCAGGGAGACAGCTGCTGCTTCCAGTGTGGTCATCAGAGCAAACAGCCAGTAATTGGATCAGACTCCATGAACATGCTTCAGAAGATAGCAACAGAAGGTGTGCGCTCTGAATGAGGGGAAAGCATTTGACCTTGACCTCCCTCATCTGGATCTACAAACCTGGTCATGCTGGCGTCAAGGGTAATGAGCGAGTGGACCAATTGGCAAGAAATGCACCAAAGAATGTGGGAAGAGGCATGGACAAAGCTCAAAACCTCAACGCTCTACAGACTGGGCTTGTGGATAATGAGGCACCTCTGACATTAACACAATTGCGTGATGTGGGAGTAGAGCGTGGTGAAGCACGTCTATGTCGTCTCTGAGGCCGAGATAGATATTATGATCAACTTCTCTTGGGAACAATTGGAAGTACCTTGGAGTGCTGCTGCATCAGAGAACGGAGCATGCATGGGAAATGTGCGGTGATGTCGATTGTGATAACATAACATAACTGACTATACATCGCAGACATATGATGTTCACTGACTACACATCCCTGACATATCATGTTCACTGACTACACATCCCTGACATATCATGTTTACTGACTACACATCTCTGACTTATGTTGTTTACTGACATATGATGTTTAGTGACTTACCACACAGATTGTCCCTGATGAGATCCATGTTAGAGTTGAGATCATCTCTGGCACACCGGACTGCAGCCTGCACTTGCTGCAAGACTGGACTGCTAGTAGTAGCAGCTAACATCTTTAATCAAAGAAACAAAATGGTTGAAATCTTCTGAGATGAGAGTGTTCAGCTGTGCTACAGGGATGTATGGGATCAACAGCCCATTGCAACAGTGACTAGCAAAACCAGCTTGTGTTCAGAAGAATCTTCCACAGTTGATGCATGAGCTTTCAGGACCACTGCTTACACCACCAGTATTTTCATGTGTTTCTCTCTCAGACATTCAGCTCTTAAGCTATCTGCCATCCAGTTCTCATCCCTTTTCAATTCCTCCCTCTACGCAATGCAATCCATGGCATCCTGCTCCAATAGATCCACCTCAATACCTGTATCATTCATGTCCTACTTGCACACATCTTTAAATCACAGAATAGACTGACCCAGACATCTGTAATTGACTACAGAGGATGTACTCAGAGACTCTAGCATCCTTCAAGTGTGTTCTGACTGTATCAGCCTTGAACCCTACCAGACCTGAGGCCCTGAACCTAACTGCCCCCTATACCTGAGCTCCTGGGCATTAGAAAAAAAAACAAAAAAACCATGATATACAAATATGGCAAGAAAATATACAAAAGTGGCAGGATAATACACACAAGTGGTAAGATAATACACACAAATGGCAAGATAATACATTAAAGTGGCAGGATAATACACACAAGTGGCAGGATAATACATTAAAGTGGTAAGATAATACACACAAATGGCAAGATAATACATTAAAGTGGCAGGATAATACAAAAAAGTGCAGGATTATACACAAAAATGGCAAGGTAATCCATAAAAATGTCAAGAAAATAAAAAAAAAAGTTGCAAGATAATACACACAATTAGTAAGATGATAAAAAAAAAAAAAAAAAAGATAACAGTGGCAAAATAATACACAGAAGTGGCAAGATAATACACAAAAGTGGCAAGATAATACACAAAAGTGGCAAGATAATACACAAAAGTGGTAAGACAATACATAGAAGTGGCAAGATAATACACAAAAGTGGTAAGACAATTCACAGAAGTGGCAAGAAATGTTATACATCACTAACAACAAAAGCACTAAGGACATGCTGTTATGTGCTCTGTCTTCTTCAGAAGATGTAGAAAAATATGAATTGACAGCTGCATATTCTTCTCAATAAAAGCAGAGGATGATAAAACTGTGTACCTGGAGAGTGTTGTAGGCCCAGATTTGACGGATGTGACATTCTGACAAACAACTGGTGGTCTCCGGTTCAAACAACACTTGCCGCCTGCAAATATTTCAAGTCTGTGAACATCACACTTATATTCATTCAATCATACTTTTCCACACACACACACACTCTCACACAGTCACATTTTTGTCATGCACACATGTACACTGAGCACTGAGGTACATACAAACATACATATACTCACACACATTATCACATACAGTGTTTGCATGTGCCATTATCTTGATCAATGTTGATGACCAGTGAAAGCATTTTCTTTGGTCTCACTGTCCACTGTCTGACTGACCAATGAAAGCATTTTCTTTGGTCTCACTGTCTGACTGACCAGCAAAAGCATTTTCTTTGGTCTCACTGTCCACTGTCTGACTGACCAATGAAAGCATTTTCTTTGGTCTCACTGTCTGACTGACAAGTGAAAGCATTTTCTTTGGTCTCACTGTCTGACTGACCAGTGAAAGCATTTACTTTGGTCTCACTGTCTGACTAACCAATGAAAGCATTTTCTTTGGTCTCACTGTCCACTGTCTGACTAACCAATGAAAGCATTTTCTTTGGTCCCACTGTCTGACCGACCAATAAAAGCATTTTCTTTGGTCTCAATGTCCACTGTCTGACTGACCAATGAAAGCATTTTCTTTGGTCTCACTGTCCACTGTCTGATTGACCAATGAAAGCATTTACTTTGGTCTCACTGTCTGACTGACCAATGAAAGCATTTTCTTTGGTCTCACTGTCCACTGTCTGACTAACCAATGAAAGCATTTTTTTTGGTCCCACTGTCCACTGTCTGACCAACCAATGAAAGCATTTTCTTTGGTCTCACTGTCCACTGTCTGACTGACCAATGAAAGCATTTTCTTTGGTCTCACTGTCCACTGTCTGACTGACCAGTGAAAGCACTTTCTTTGGTCTCACTGTCTGACTGACCAATGAAAGCAATTTCTTTGGTCTCACTGTCCACTGTCTGACTGACCAATGAAAGCAATTTCTTTGGTCTCACAGTCCACTGTCTGATTGACCAATGTAAGCATTTTCTTTGGTCTCACTGTCCACTGACTGACTGATCAATAAAAGCATTTTCTTTGGTCCCACTATCCACTGTCTGAACGACCAATGAAAGCATTTTCTTTGGTCTCACTGTCCACTGTCTTACTGATCAATGAAAGCATTTTCTTTGGTCTCACTGTCTGACTGACCAATTAAAGCACTTTCTTTGGTCTCACTCTCCACTGTCTGACCGATCAATGAAAGCATTTTCTTTGGTCTCACTGTCCACTGTCTGACTGACCAATGAAAGCAATTTCTTTGGTCTCACTGTCCACTGTCTGACTGATCAATGAAAGCTTTTTCTTTGGTCTTACTGTCCACTGTCTGACTGATCAATGAAAGCATTTTCTTTGGTCTCACTGTCCACTGTCTGACTGACCAATTAAAGCATTTACTTTGGTCTCACTGTCTGACTGACCAGTGAAAGCATTTTCTTTGGTCTCACTGTCCACTGTCTGACTGATCAATGGAAGCACTTTCTTTGGTCTCACTGTCTGACTGATCAATGGAAGCACTTTCTTTGGTCTTACTGTCTGACTGATCAATGGAAGCACTTTCTTTGGTCTCACTGTCTGACTGATCAATGGAAGCACTTTCTTTGGTCTTACTGTCTGACTGATCAATGGAAGCACTTTCTTTGGTCTCACTGTCCACTGTCTGAATGATCAGTGAAAGCATTTTCTTTGGTCTCACTGTCTGACTGATCAATGGAAGCACTTTCTTTGGTCTCACTGTCTGACTGATCAATGGAAGCACTTTCTTTGGTCTCACTGTCTGACTGATCAATGGAAGCACTTTCTTTGGTCTCACTGTCTGACTGATCAATGGAAGCACTTTCTTTGGTCTCACTGTCTGACTGATCAATGGAAGCACTTTCTTTGGTCTCACTGTCCACTATCTGACTGACCAATGAAAGCATTTTCTTTGGTCTCACTGTCTGACTGATCAATGAAAGCATTTTCTTTGGTCTCACTGTTCACTGTCTGCCTGAACAGTGAAAGCATTTTCTTTGGTCTCACTGTCCACTGTCTGACTGACCAATGAAAGCATTTTCTTTGGTTCCACTGTCTGACTTATCAATGAAAGCATTTTCTTTGGTTCCACTGTCTGACTTATCAATGAAAGCATTTTCTTTGGTCTCACTGTCTGACTGATCAATGAAAGCATTTTCTTTGGTCTCACTGTTCACTGTCTGCCTGAACAGTGAAAGCATTTTCTTTGGTCTCACTGTCCACTGTCTGACTGACCAATGAAAGCATTTTCTTTGGTTCCACTGTCTGACTTATCAATGAAAGCATTTTCTTTGGTTCCACTGTCTGACTTATCAATGAAAGCATTTTCTTTGGTCTCACTGTCCACTATCTGACTGACCAATGAAAGCAATTTCTTTGGTCTCACTGTCTGACTGATCAATGAAAGCATTTTCTTTGGTCTCACTGTCCACTGTCTGACTGACCAATAATAGCATTTTCTTTGGTCTCACTGTCGACTGTTTTACTGACCAGTGAAAGCATTTTCATTAAATGACAGCTTAAAGCAATGTACTGAGTGCCAGTATTTAAGTGACAGCTGAAAGCAATGTACTGAGTGCCAGTATGTAAGTGACAGTTGAAAGCAATGTATTGAGTGCCAGTATTTAAGTGACAGCTGAAAGCAATGTACTGAGTGCCAGTATTTAAGTGACAGCTGAAAGCAATGTACTGAGTGCCAGTATTTAAGTGACAGCTGAAAACAATGTACTGAGTGCCAGTATTTAAGATCCAATACAATAAAGCATGTGCCAGAGTAAAGCTTGTAGTTAATAAGGCTAAAAGAGATAAATGGACAGAAACTTGCTCCAACTTAGACCTTAGACAGAATGGAAATAAAGCATGGACTTTAGTTAAAAACCTCTCCGGAGAAAGTAGAAGGGTGAACCCAAAACCAGTGACAGATGGGAGTAAGACAATCACTGAAGACAAGAAGAAAGCAGAACATTTCAATCATTATTTTGCCTCGGTTAACAGAGCAGGTAAGCTGTCAGAACTCGATAGAACACAGCTCTCTCAGTTGAAGAAACAAGAGAGAGCTCCAACAGCCAGCGACTCCCTTTTTGAAAATGAATTTAGCATGGATGAATTAGAGCAAGCCCTGAAGAAATTAAAACCTAGAAAATCTCCAGGCCCAGATAAGATCCACAACGAAATGCTGCTACATCTTGGCCGGTCTGGGAGAGAAGTAGTTCTCAGGCTTATTAATAAAACTTGGAGGTCAAGCAAACTTCCAAGGGCATGGAGGAATGCATATATCGTCCCCATCCTTAAAACCAAAAAGCCTCCAGATGACCCCAAAAGCTACCGCCCGATATCCTTAACATCATGCTTGGGCAAAGTTGCAGAAAGAATGATAAACAGGCGCTTATATTGGTTCCTTGAGAGTTCTGGTGTTCTATGCCATGAACAGGCAGGCTTCAGAACCAACAGCTGCACAGAAGACCAGCTGTTCAGACTGACACAAAGAATACATGATGGCTTCCAGAATAAGAAACACACAGTGGCAGTCTTTGTCGACCTCCAGCAGGCCTATGACAGAGTATGGAGAAAAGGTCTCCTGATGAAGATGATGAGCATAGGAATACATGGCAGATTGTATAACTGGGTGAAATACTTCCTGATAGATAGAACAATCCAGACTAAGATGCACAACGCAATCTCTTCTAAAGAAGTCTTGGAGGAGGGCTTGCCACAAGGCTCATCATTGAGCTGTACACTATTCCTAATCTTTATCAATGACCTGCCAGAACAAATCAAGGCCGACAAAGCCTTGTACGCTGATGACCTAGCAATATGGCAGAGTCATGAAAATGTGGAAAGTGGAGCCCAAAGACTGAATGGAGACCTTAGAAGACTGCATGATTACTGCCAAAGATGGAAACTCAAGATTAACTGTGCAAAGACGGTCTACACAATCTTTACCAAAAGCCACCAAGTAGCAAGGAAGAATATTAACCTGAGGTTAGACAAACACCAAGTGATGAAAGAAGAGCATCCCACATACCTTGGAGTCACACTTGACCCGCAGCTCAGCCTCAAGAACCATATTGAAAACATCAGGAATAAGGCATTGAGGCGGTTACAGTTATTAAAGAGACTTGCAGGTACATCATGGGGATCAGACAAGGAAACTCTGAGGGGCTTATACCTAGGATATGTTCGCTCTGTGATAGAGTACAACAACTCACTGCTTACAACTTGTTCCAAAACTAACCTAGAGACTCTTGACAGAGAGTACAAAATAATGCCCTCCGATTAATCTGCGGAGCTATGCAGTCTACACCAACTGCTGCATGTGAAATCCATACAAATGTGGAACCCCTCGGGTTGCGGAGAGAAAAAGCCACTTTAGAAATTTATGAAAGATGCGTTAGGAAAAATCGTAACCATCCTAATAGACATCTTGTAGAAAACTGGGAATCCAAACAAAGAATAAAGCACAAATCGGTTTTACACTGTGTAAATGAAATTCAGGACAGATACCACCTCCCAGAAAGACGTCAAGGAATTCAGAATGTTGCAAAAAACCTACCACCACATGCTCGCTTTAAAGCTCCAGAAGTCCAAACTAAATTGGTAGGCGAGGAAACCAAACAGTCCGACCCAATCGCTCTTATGAACTCATCACTAAAGACCGTTGATTCTTACCCCCAAGAATGGATACATGTCTATACTGATGGATCAGCATTTAAAGCTACCATTAAAGCAGGTTACGGAATCTACATAGGTTATCCCGATGGATCTGTTGAAGAGATTTTTGATGCATGCGGGGAATTCTGTTCAAACTATGAAGCTGAAATAATTGCACTGGAAACAGCAGTATACCACCTAAAGACTGTAATGGATGTTTACCCCTCAAAGGTCCAAAATATTGTCATCTTCACAGATTCAATGTCTGCCCTTCAAGCTCTGGAGGGCAATGAACGCTGCAGAACTGACATAGCCAAGATAATCCTGGATGCCGATCATCTTATTACCTCATACAACATCAGAATAGTGATGCAGTGGATTCCAGGTCACTCCGGCACACCAGGTAATGACAGAGCTGACAGATTGGCAAAGAAAGGAGCAACACAAGAACAACCACCTACAGCGACAACCCTCCAGACAGCAAAAACACTGATAAGAGCTATAAACAAAGAGACTTGGTTGAACAGATGGGCCATGGGAGACACTGGAAGAGAGGTTTATAGACATATGTCTGGCCCTGATCCTAATGACAGCATTAACCATCTAACAAGAAGGGACCAGGCCACCATCTTCAGACTTAGAACGCAATATACTCCACTCAATGGACACCTAAACAGAATACAGCCACAACACTCCCCAGAGTGCCAGCTATGTAACTACCCCTACGAAACTGTTGAACACCATCTCTTTGAGTGCCCAAAACTCAGTGAGACAAGAAGAACGCTACTCCCTCCGAGACCAGACAAGTGGAACACCTTGTACGGAGGAAAAGAACAGCTTGTGAAAACATGCAAATTCCACTACATGGCATTGGGCCAAAGGGCGAAAGCTCATGCGCCGCTGGATCGATAACAACAACAACAACAACAAGTGACAGCTGAAAACAATGTACAGAGTGTCAGTATGTAAGTGACAGCTGAAAGCAATGTACTGAGTGCCAGTATTTAAGTGACAGCTGAAAGCAATGTACTGAGTGCCAGTATTTAAGTGACAGCTGAAAGCAATGTACTGAGTGCCAGTATTTAAGTGACAGCTGAAAGCAATGTACTGAGTGCCAGTATTTAACTGACAGCTGAAAGCAATGTATTGAGTGCCAGTATTTAACTGACAGCTGAAAACAATGTACTGAGTGTCAGTATTTAACTGACAGCTGAAAGCAATGTATTGAGTGTCAGTATTTAAGTGACAGCTGAAAGCAATGTATTGAGTGACCTGTCAAAAGAGCCAGACTAGAGCTGATACACTAATAATCTCTAGTTATGTCTCTCCACTCCTTCATATAAAACAAGAACACTTTGCCACCACTTTCTGTACACATAAACAGGGAGATACACCAGAACAGTTACATATGGTCATATTATTTAAAAATATTCATTATTTAATCAAAAATAATCAAACAACAAATGTTAAAATTAAATATAGTTTCTCTCTCTCACACATGTAAGCACGCACGCACACATGCATGCACACCCCCAACCCCGATGACTGTGGGAGATAACAGAGAATACGGATATGTGACGTCTGTTTACCTGAGGCTGAAAGCAGCATCAATGGCCAAGCCTAATTGCCCTGGAGTGTACAACACTTCAGTGAGAGTGTCCACAAGGTCTGAGTTCCAGCACAGCTCTGCAATAACTAATTGTGACAGAGCCTGAAATAAACACAAATGTCACTGCACTCATTAAATTATATCAATTTTACTCTGTCTCTGTCTCTCTCTCTCTCTCTCTCTCTCTCTCATGCTTGCAAACATTCTGGGAGACAGAAGATGTTCTAATAGACTAAAAGCCTAACAGAAGATGTTCTGGGAGACCACATGTCTAACAGAAGATGTTCTGGGAGACCTCATGTCTAATAGAAGATGTTCTGAGAGACTTCATGTCTAACAGAAGATGTTCTGGGAGACCACATGTCTAACAGAAGATGTTCTGGGAGACCTCATGTCTAATAGAAGATGTTCTGAGAGACCACATGTCTAACAGAAGATGTTCTGGGAGACCTCATGTCTAATAGAAGATGTTCTGGGAGACCTCATGTCTAACAGAAGATGTTCTGGGAGACCACATGTCTAACAGAAGATGTTCTGGGAGACCACATGTCTAATAGATGTTCTGAGAGACCACATGTCTAATAGAAGATGTTCTGGGAGACCACATGTCTAATAGAAGATGTTCTGGGAGACCACATGTCTAATAGAAGATGTTCTGGGAGACCACATGTCTAATAGAAGATGTTCTGGGAGACCACATGTCTAACAGAAGATGTTCTGGGAGACCACATGTCTAACAGAAGATGTTCTGGGAGACCACATGTCTAACAGAAGATGTTCTGGGAGACCACATGTCTAACAGAAGATGTTCTGGGAGACCACATGTCTAACAGAAGATGTTCTGAGAGACCAGATGTCTAATAGAAGATGTTCTGGAAGACCTCATGTCTAACAGAAGATGTTCTGAGAGACCACATGTCTAATAGAAGATGTTCTGAGAGACCACATGTCTAATAGAAGATGTTCTGGGAGACCACATGTCTAATAGAAGATGTTCTGAGAGACCTCATGTCTAATAGAAGATGTTCTGAGAGACCACATGTCTAATAGAAGATGTTCTGGGAGACCACATGTCTAATAGAAGATGTTCTGAGAGACCACATGTCTAATAGAAGATGTTCTGGGAGACCACATGTCTAACAGAAGATGTTCTGGGAGACCACATGTCTAATAGAAGATGTTCTGAGAGACCACATGTCTAATAGAAGATGTTCTGAGAGACCACATGTCTAATAGAAGATGTTCTGGGAGACCACATGTCTAACAGAAGATGTTCTGGAAGACCTCATGTCTAATAGAAGATTTTCTGGGAGACCAAATGTCTAACAGAAGATGTTCTGGGAGACCACATGTCTAACAGAAGATGTTCTGGAAGACCTCATGTCTAACAGAAGATGTTCTGGGAGACCACATGTCTAACAGAAGATGTTCTGGGAGACCACATGTCTAATAGAAGATGTTCTGGGAGACCAAATGTCTAACAGAAGATGTTCAGGGAGACCACATGTCTAACAGAAGATGTTCTGAGAGACCTCATGTCTAACAGAAGATGTTCTGGGAGACCACATGTCTAACAGAAGATGTTCTGAGAGACCACATGTCTAACAGAAGATGTTCTGAGAGACCACATGTCTTTCTAGAATTATCCCCTTTCTAGAATTATCATTTGTTATTAACAGATAAATATTTAGCAAATGAATCATCTATAAATAGTATATGATGTAACTGTTGACGTGCCCTATCAAAGTGAATGCAGTAGTACTGGCTTTCTGGAGATCATGAGGCCAGCTGCCAAACGAATGAGTATATTTAGGTGCAGAATTGGATAACGCAATCTGGTGCAATCAAGATGTAATTAGAAAATCCAGAGTGAGAACGTACATAGTAAACAAGTTTTAGCATACAAGAATATTCTAGAAGCATTTAGTGAGTAGAAAACACATATCATGCATTCCAGCATTTGGGTATAAACAGCGGGTAAGAAATGACTCAAATATATCCTTTGAAGAGGAGTGACTAGTAACATGCACCCTCAAAGAGAGTCTTCAGTCGTTGAGACATTGAAGCAGAGGAACCAGTCACATGAAGCCTCAAAGACAGTCACTAGAGAGGAGATATGAAACAAGACATCGAGCTACAGAGACGACACACAAGATACATGGATCTATGGTTAACAGAGACACATTAGACAGAAACACTGTTATTGAGATGTTAGAGTCGATGATCAAGCCGTTAGTACCAAACAGCACTAGAAGCCAGGTGGCAGTTACAGACACAAGAACCAGTTAACAAAGTAGTTAGAGATGAATAACACAATGCAACCTCAAGAGTATGTAACCATAGAGCGAACACAGTGCCATTCAGAATGTCATTGATGTTGTTTGTGACATTACTGAGGTAACACAATAAAGGCACTACAGAAGAACATTTGTTTCCATAAATTTTTTATGCAAGCATCAGAGATGTGAGAAGAATGAAGCAAACAAGACATCATCATCATCACCACTATCGACACGACCATCTTTCTTCTTGTCTATTCTCTTTCAATTGACTCCTCCTGTAGCAAACCTAAAGATGAACCTGGGTGTGACATCAAGCACATGAAGAAGACAGCTGTGCTACGGAGAAGATGATCTGGGAGACTGCATGCCTAACAGACAATGTTCTGGGAGACCACATGCCTAACAGATGAAGTTCTGGGAGACCATATGCCTAATAAAAGATGTTCTGGGAGACTGCATGCCTAACAGAAGATGTTCTGGGAGACCACATGCCTAACAGAAGATGTTCTGGGAGACTACATGCTTAACAGAAGATGTTCTAGGAGACTACATGCTTAACAGAAGATGTTCTGGGAAACCATACACCTAACAGAAGATGTTCTGGGAGACCACAAGCCTAATAGAAGACAATCTGGGAGACCAAATGATTAATAAAAGATGTTCTGGGAGACTGCGTGCCTAACAGAAGATGTTCTGGGAACCCACATGCTGAACAGAAGATGATCTGGGAGACCAAATGTCTCACTAAAGATGTTTTGAGTGACCATATGTCTAACAGAAGATGTTCAGGAAGACCACATGTCTAACAGAAAATGTTCTGGGAGACTGCATGCCTAACAGAAGATGTTCTGGGAGACTGCATGCCTAACAGAAGATGTTCTGGGAGACTGCATGCCTAACAGAAGATGTTCTGGGAGACCACATGACTAACAGAAAATGTTCTGGGAGACTGCATGCCTAACAGAAGATGCTCTAGCAAACTACATGCCTAACAGCTACTTGAAGATGTTATCCTCACCTGAGATCTGAACATGGCAAGGTGGCTGCCCAAAAGTTGTAAAGTACTCCAGTGGGTGCCATTTCCATGTGGTATACCAGGAAACAAAACCACAGATCTGGTGCACTTATTTCTATAATTGAACATTAGAGAAACACTCACCGGGTAACACCAGGTGCCTGTCAGTGTGTTGAGGCTGGAAGTCTGGCAGAGAAAGCTTGACACAAGCTGTCTCACTTCAGCTTCAGTATCTTCCAACAGTTGTAGACTTGCTCTCAATATACTGTCAGTGGGAGGCAAAGTAAAACCATAACTGCACCGAACATGTGCTTAGTGACAATCAATGACATCTCAAAGAGATGTGTTCTAGGTTTGTCAAGTCTAGTGGGTAGAATATCCTTCACATCACAAAGATAAATATGTCTATGTTTGCCCAGTCTAATGGATAGAATGTCTCTCACATCACAAAGATAAATATGTTTATGTTTGCTCAGTCTAATGGATAGAATGTCTCTCACATTTTAAAAGATAAATATGTCTATGTTTGCCCAGTCTAATGGATAGAATGTCTCTCACATCACAAAGATAAATATGTCTATGTTTGCCCAGTCTAATGGATAGAATGTCTCTCACATCACAAAGATAAATATGTCTATGTTTGCCCAGTCTAATGGATAGAATGTCTCTCACATCACAAAGATAAATATGTCTATGTTTGCCCAGTCTAATGGATATAATGTCTCTCACATTTTAAAAGATAAATATGTCTATGTTTGCTCAGTCTAATGGATAGAATGTCTCTCAGATCACAAAGATAAATATGTCTATGTTTGCCCAGTCTAATGGATAGAATGTCTCTCAGATCACAAAGAAAACTGTGTCTATGTCTGATCAGGCAAGTGGGTAGGATATCACCATCTCTCTTTCTCTGTCTTCTTTAGTCACTCTTTTGTACTCACTGCATATATCTCTGTCTTCTCTCATCCTTCTCTCTGTTATACACAACATACTACAGATCTAACTGTCTTCTCTTATCCTTCTCTCTGTCATACACAAAACACTACAGATTTATCTGTCTTCTCTCATCCTTTTCTCTGTCATACACAACACCTTACAGATCTTACTGTCTTCTTTCATCCTTCTCTCTGTCATACACAAAACACTGCAGATATATCTGTCTTCTTTCATCCTTCTCTCTGTCATAAACAACATACTACACTCCCCACACCTTTCTCCATGGATGTCTCAGCATTCTCTTGCCCTTCTCTTTCATACATTACGTACTACAGCTACCTGGAGAGAAGTTTTTCAAGGCCAGCGACATCTCTGCAGGTACAAGCAAACTTGAATATGTTGGCTCCTGATATGGCTAATGATCTGGCAGCCAGCAGACGCAGCATTTCATTCTGTGTAGGCTGTGAGTAGGCTAGCAACTGGTGACTCCAGACTTCAAGCCAACAGCAGCTGCAAACATTCACAGATAACACAGACAGCTCAAACACAAGCATCTAAGTCAGACAGAAAAGGGGCTGACATAGTTGCCAGGTTTGACACTGCTGTCAACTAAAAGCTAGGATTAACGACTGTCAGCTAAAAGCTAGGATTATAAATGTCAGCTAAAACCTAGGATTAATGACTTTCAGCTTAAAGCTGAGATTATGACTGTCAGCTAAAAGCTGGGATTATGAATGTCAGCTAAAACCTAGGATTAATGACTTTCAGCTTAAAGCTGAGATTATGAATGTCAGCTAAAAGCTGGGATTATGAATGTCAGCTAAAACCTAGGATTAATTACTGTCAGCTTAAAGCTGGGATTATGAATGTCAGCTAAAAGCTGGGATTATGAATGTCAGCTAAATGCTAGTATTAACGACTGTCAGCTAAAAGCTAGGATTATGAATGTCAGCTAAAACCTAGGATTAATGACTGTCAGCTTAAAGCTGGGATTATGAATGTCAGCTAAAAGCTTGGATTATGAATGTCAGCTAAAAGCTGGGATTATGAATGTCAGCTAAAAGCTGGAATTATGAATGTCAGCTAAAAGCTAGGATTATGAATGTCAGCTAAAAGCTAGGATTAACGACTGTCAGCTAAAAGCTAGGATTAACAACTGTCAGCTAAAAGCTAGGATTAACGACTGTCAGCTAAAAGCTAGGATTAACAACTGTCAGCTAAAAGCTAGGATTAACAGCTGGCATTATAAATGTTGGCTTAAAAATTAGGATTAATGATCATCACCTAAAAACTAAGATTGTGACTGACTCCAAAAGGATTAACTCTTTCTGGCCCATGAATTTTGACAGACTTAGCTCACATTAATTCCCCTTTACAAACACGGCAAAGGGGTGGTGTTAAAAAGGAAAGAAAAAAAGGCAATTGAGAATGTAATATATTTATAATCCCTACAAAAGTATTTACTTTTTAAAAAGGAACGAATGTACATTTTCAATCTGGTGATGTATTTTTGTTTAATTCTGTTATAAATAGTAGAAACAATGAATTCAGCAGGTGTTATGTTGACTGAGACAAAATGTTAACCCCCCCCCCCCCCCCAAAAAAAAAATCTTTACTAACCACGGTTCTGCAGCCACACGACCATGGTTCTGCAGCCACAAGAGCATGGTTCTGCAGCCACAAGAGCATGGTTCTGCAGCCACAAGAGCATGGTTCTGCAGCCACACGACCATGGTTCTGCAGCCACACGACCATGGTTCTGCAGCCACACGACCATGGTTCTGCAGCCACACGACCATAGTTCTGCAGCCACACGACCATGGTTCTGCAGCCACAAGACCATGGTTCTGCAGCCACAAGAGCATGGTTCTGCAGCCACAAGACCATGGTTCTGCAGCCACAAGACCATGGTTCTGCAGCCACAAGACCATGGTTCTGCAGCCACACGACCATGGTTCTGCAGCCACACGACCATGGTTCTGCAGCCACACGACCATGGTTCTGCAGCCACACGACCATGGTTCTGCAGCCACAAGAGCATGGTTCTGCAGCCACAAGAGCATGGTTCTGCAGCCACATGACCATGGTTCTGCAGCCACAAGAGCATGGTTCTGCAGCCACAAGAGCATGGTTCTGCAGCCACACGACCATGGTTCTGCAGCGACACGACCATGGTTCTGCAGCCACACGACCATGGTTCTGCAGCCACAAGAGCATGGTTCTGCAGCCACAAGAGCATGGTTCTGCAGCCACACGACCATGGTTCTACAGCCACACGACCATGGTTCTGCAGCCACACGACCATGGTTCTGCAGCCACACAACCATGGTTCTGCAGCCACAAGAGCATGGTTCTGCAGCCACACGACCATGGATCTGCAGCCACAAGAGCATGGTTCTGCAGCCCCGCGACCATGGTTCTGCAGCCACGCGACCATGGTTCTGCAGCCACAAGAGCATGGTTCTGCAGCCACACGACCATGGTTCTGCAGCCACACGACCATGGTATTGCAGCCACACGACCATGGATCTGCAGCCACAAGACCATGGTTCTGCAGCCACACGACCATGGTTCTGCAGCCACAAGAGCATGGTTCTGCAGCCACAAGAGCATGGTTCTGCAGCCACAAGACCATGGTTCTGCAGCCACAAGAGCATGGTTCTGCAGCCACAAGAGCATGGTTCTGCAGCCACACGACCATGGTTTCTGCAGCTGCACACGACCATGGTTCTGCAGCCACACACGACCATGGTTCTGCAGCCACAAGAGCATGGTTCTGCAGCCACAAGAGCATGGTTCTGCAGCCACACGACCATGGTTCTGCAGCCACACGACCATGGTTCTGCAGCCACAAGAGCATGGTTCTGCAGCCACAAGAGCATGGTTCTGCAGCCACAAGACCATGGTTCTGCAGCCACACGACCATGGTTCTGCAGCCACACGACCATGGTTCTGCAGCCACACGACCATGGTTCTGCAGCCACAAGACCATGGTTCTGCAGCCACAAGAGCATGGTTCTGCAGCCACAAGACCATGGTTCTGCAGCCACAAGAGCATGGTTCTGCAGCCACAAGAGCATGGTTCTGCAGCCACACGACCATGGTTCTGCAGCCACACGACCATGGTTCTGCAGCCACACGACCATGGTTCTGCAGCCACAAGAGCATGGTTCTGCAGCCACAAGAGCATGGTTCTGCAGCCACACGACCATGGTTCTGCAGCCACACAGACCATGGTTCTGCAGCCACACGACCATGGTTCTGCAGCCACAAGACCATGGTTCTGCAGCCACAAGAGCATGGTTCTGCAGCCACACGACCATGGTTCTGCAGCCACAAGAGCATGGTTCTGCAGCCACGCGACCATGGTTCTGCAGCCACGCGACCATGGTTCTGCAGCCACAAGAGCATGGTTCTGCAGCCACAAGACCATGGTTCTGCAGCCACACGACCATGGTTCTGCAGCCACACGACCATGGTTCTGCAGCCACAAGACCATGGTTCTGCAGCCACACGACCATGGTTCTGCAGCCACAAGACCATGGTTCTGCAGCCACACGACCATGGTTCTGCAGCCACACGACCATGGTTCTGCAGCCACACAAGACCATGGTTCTGCAGCCACACGACCATGGTTCTGCAGCCACAAGACCATGGTTCTGCAGCCACAAGAGCATGGTTCTGCAGCCACAAGAGCATGGTTCTGCAGCCACCACAAGAGCATGGTTCTGCAGCATGGTTCTGCAGCCACACGACCATGGTTCTGCAGCCACACGAGCATGGTTCTGCAGCCACAAGACCATGGTTCTGCAGCCACAAGAGCATGGTTCTGCAGCCACAAGACCATGGTCTCTGCAGCCACACAGACCATGGTTCTGCAAGAGCCACAAGAGCATGGTTCTGCAGCCACAAGACCATGGTTCTGCAGCCACAAGACCATGGTTTCTTCAACGCAGCCACACGACCATGGTTCTGCAGCCACAAGACCATGGTTCTGCAGCCACAAGACCATGGTTCTGCAGCCACAAGACCATGGTTCTGCAGCCCACAAGACCATGGTTCTGCAGCCACAAGAGCATGGTTCTGCAGCCACAAGCCACGCAGCCACCATGGTTCTGCAGCCACAAGACCATGGTTCTGCAGCCACAAGAGCATGGTTCTGCAGTTCTGCAGCCACAAGAGCATGGTTCTGCAGCCACACGACCATGGTTCTGCAGCCACACGACCATGGTTCTGCAGCCACAAGAGCATGGTTCTGCAGCCACAAGAGCATGGTTCTGCAGCCACAACGACCATGGTTCTGCCACAAGCAGCCACCATGGTTCTGCAGCCACAAGACCATGGTTCTGCAGCCACAAGACCATGGTTCTGCAGCCACAAGAGCATGGTTCTGCAGCCACAAGACCATGGTTCTGCAGCCACAAGACCATGGTTCTGCAGCCACAAGACCATGGTTCTGCAGCCACGACCATGGTTCTGACAAGAGCATGGTTCTGCAGCCACAAACGAGCATGGTTCTGCAGCCACACCACGCATGGTTCTGCAGCCCATGGTTCTGCAGCATGGCCACACAACCATGGTTCTGCAGCCACACGACCACGGATCTGCAGCCACAAGACCACGGTTCTGCAGCCACACGACCATGGTTCTGCAGCCACAAGAGCATGGTTCTGCAGCCACAAGAGCATGGTTCTGCAGCCACAAGAGCATGGCTCTGCAGCCACACGACCATGGTTCTGCAGCCACAAGACCATGGTTCTGCAGCCACACGACCATGGTTCTGCAGCCACACGACCACGGTTCTGCAGCCACAAGACCATGGTTCTGCAGCTACAAGAGCATGGTTCTGCAGCCACAAGAGCATGGTTCTGCAGCCACAAGAGCATGGTTCTGCAGCCACAAGAGCATGGTTCTGCAGCCACAAGAGCATGGTTCTGCAGCCACAAGGGCATGGTTCTGCAGCCACAAGAGTACTGAACATCTACATTTAAAAATACAACTTTAAAGTTGATTCAGTTTCCTAAAAATTCAAAAGTTATAAGATGTTTCTGTGTTTGTTTTTCACTCAGATGCTGAACAAAATTTCAAAGAAAACTAGGCTATCCTCCGAATAACGGTAATGATGGCGGCCGCAAAATATCCTTTTGAGCCAAAGTTACGTGTCAATGCGCACCTCCGGCGACTTAAATTGCGGTTTTCCAGCGACTACCGCCACCGCCATGAGTCCCCCATGCCGCTCACGTGGCATGGATTGGTGCTAAACTAGATGGCTAGGACCCACGTGCAGCAGCTTCCGCATCTCCTGAAGCTTAGCCATAATGTGAGTATGGTACTGTCTGAAACAGTCTTTTTGATTAATGATTGTTTTCTTCTTCTCACAACATGTTCCAGTTTCCTTCTTGTCACAACATGTTCTAGTTCCTTTCTTCTCCCAACATGTTCCAATTTCCTTATTCTCACAACATGTTTCAGTTTCCTTCTTCTCACAACATGTGATATACTCTACCTGC